AAAAGTACACATTTTTGGTCGGTAGCTATTTTTAAATGAAATTAATTGTAACTAATTAATATTTTTTTTAGATTTAAGTACCTATATATTATTAATAGTTAATGGGTCGACTATCAAAACGATATAATTAATAAATACGTTCAATTTTAGGAAAAACAAGTCTCCGAAAATTAAAAAATCTGTATAAACAAATAGGTACCTAATAGAAAACCGTCCGGTATGGAAACGCCATTTTATCATGAACAATTTCGTTTTATTTGGTAGGCATTTAAAATTAAATACATAAATAATGGTTAACTACTTTTTGTCTATCATTGGACTTTCGGGCCGGTACAAGTAACTGTTATCTACAATTTTTTATTGCTTATTTCACGCTCTCAGCTTTTGTTTAATATATCAAGAAAAATCTATAAAAGGTAGATGATGTAGGAGACCACAAAAAATGTTCATTTTTACATTTGGAATTTGGATATAAATTTTAAACCAAGTATCACTGGATCATTAAGAAAAGAATATTCCCGGATATATTCCTAATATCCAAGGATATATTTGAGACATTTAGCTACACCTAAACATATTTTATTCAAAAAGTATTTAATTAATTAAGATGTTTTATAATTTGTTTATTAGTAAACTAAGATAATTTATACTACCTATATTATTACTCATTAAAATTTTACCTAGTTATTACAACATTATTAAATAACTACTACTACTCGTAATATAAAAAGTTGCACAGAAAAAGTTTGAGAACAATAAAAGTGTCCTCTGACTTTTTATTTCATTTTAGACCTAAATTTGATAGGTACAAGGTTTGAGATTCATCATAATTAAGTTGTTCCAATGGCACTATACAAATATCGAAATTCCACAAGTTTTTTTATAAGCAATTAAAGTGCACATTTTGATGAAAATCATAAGTAAGTTTAGACACTATTTTCTGATTTATGTGGATAAAACTTTTTTGGCTCCATACAAATTCTCAAAAGTTTAAGACGGAAAATCATGACAAGTGTAAGTAATTTATTTTATAGTTACAAATTAATACAATTTTCAACTTAAGTTTATGAAAACACATTTAACCAAACTTTACTTAAATTAGTTTTTCATTAGCAATAATTTATCATTTATCTTTGCGTAATTACCTACAGACTTACATTAAATTATCATATATTATAATATTCTGCATTTTTTTTTTTTATTTTTATGTGACACTATACTGTTTTGAAACTTTTTTTTATTAATAATTTTTTTCATTTTGCAACTAATTTACATAAAATTTAGTTGGTGCCTAATTACTACTTTTTTTGTGCATATTTTTCTAGAAATATTAAAAAAATATAAAAGAGAACCCACATTTTGTTCAAGATAATCTTAATATACATAACATTTTTAATTTTTATCCATCAAAAATAATTATTTAAAAACAAATTAATAATAGATGCCTATTGCATGGTCTTAAAAAAAAAAAAAAAACAATAAATTTTATGTAGTATCCAAAATGTAAGTTATTATTTTTATTACTCCCTTAGAAGTAATTCAGTATTAGATTTATTTTTCCTTTTTGCACACTTTAAATTATCGCTCACCTTACATATTATCAAGAATAACTAGCAAAGGTAATTAGGACACATAATAGATGAGACAAAAATAATTATCTGTACATTTTTAAACAAATTGGACTTGATTATTTAGAATTTTCAGTTTTATATTTATTAGGTTAAATTTGACAATATGTATACAAAACCTACATCATAAAAATATAGGTAATTGTTTTAAAAAAATGGGTATTATATTCCCCACTATCAGCATTTTCTAACAAATAACATTATACATAAAAAAAAAAACCTTAGTTCATATTTGTATTTAAATATCTTCTTATTTTTTTTTTTGAAAATTCCTTAGCTAAGTAATATTGAAATTAATATATACCAATAATCAATTAAAAATATATTAAATTAAGAAGAGTTATGTATTCTACTCTTGGATAAAGTAAAAAACACGCGATTTTAATTAAAAATTACGTAACGGATTTGTGTTTCAACTTATTGTGGTTTTATTTTCTTAGTCTTTTATTTTTGTCTAAAGGAAAACCGGTAAATAGTTGTATCGGTAATATTGTGGACATAATATTGCACATAAGTTTAGTCAAATTAATTTGTTTATACAAGTAACTAATGCATATTCTTTAAACAATTAAAAATTATAATAGATAGGTATAATAGAATTCAGTCATGTACTATTTACACTTTATAAATTGTTGATTTTTTTTTTTTTTTTTTTAATGACACTTCTGTATTCAATTTTCATACATTTGTTATTTTTTGAAAACACAACTCGTGTTTTGGATTTTCGATTTATTAGTCGTTATTTTAATTATTAAATTTTTTAGTCTATGATTTTATAAGTGTGAGTTAGAGTGCTCCTTTTAGAGTGCTATAAGGTTTCAATGTCTCTATTAGTCAATTAATTGAAATATTAAAGTATATGTATCTGCAATTAATTAAAAAGCTATTCAGTGTTATTTTTAAGTTCAATATTTGTATAGGCATTTGTTAGATACACTATAAGTACATATTTACAGGATTGGTGTTTTGCATAATGGATTTATATAAGTTAAATGTCTAAAATTGGAATGTGTAATATTTGTGATTGACTTGGTTATTTTTTTATTGATAAGTAAATATTTAGATGAATAATTTTTATATACTGGCAGTATAACACGGTTATTATGATCACATATACTTTACAAATTCGCTTGCTATTCACCAAAAGGTGATTTTTAGAGTATAACATAACACATATAGTACTTTTTAAGCTAAACATAAGTCATCTAATCCAATAAATAATAACAATTGATTTTTCGTGACATCCAAAGAACAATATTAAATATATGTGAAATGCGGATGTCAAAATACGTGATGTAAAAAATAATAGTAGTTTTCGGAGATTATCAAAATGTGTATAATTAAAAAATAGCACAATTTTAATTTTGTGAAAACTTTTCAATACAACAAGCAACTCAAAAACATTGCAAAAACCAATGCACAAAAAAAAAAAAAAAAAAAAAAAAAAAAAAACATATATTACTTCACTAGTTTTGAATTACATAAAAAAAAAAAAAAAAAAAAATTAATGATTATAATTAATAATTAATCTCTTCTTTTAAGTTTGAAAAAAAATATATGTATATTTTTCTTTTTATCGTACGTGTTGTGTTTAATGTGTGAATGACTAGTTGCGCACGTAGTAATAATTATTATAATAATATATGTAACAATGACACAAATGTACCGATGTAATTAAACATTCTATTACAAAATCAAACAAACGTCTATTATTTAACGTTCCGAAAAATAATGAATTAAATAAATAATAATAATAATAATAATAATAATGTATATAAACAATTAATAACAATGATGAACATGTCAAGTCATATCATAGTCCATTTTGAGCTCAACAGAGAGAAAAATAATAATAATAAAAAATAATAATAATAATAATAATAATAGTAATAATAGTAATGATGATGATGATAATAATAGTAATAATACAGTGACACAAGAAAAGGAGATAAAATTAAAATGTCAACAAAAATAATACACTATTGTTTATAATAATGTGGTTTCGGAAACGCGAAAATTGACCGTTTTCGGTGCACAAAACAAGCGGCTTTTAATACGCCCGTTTAACAAGATAAACGATCGGCAAATGTTAATGCGTATTCTCGCGTACGTAACAATACGTAATGCAATATGAGTGGTGCGCAATTAATGACGTGACTGGATGTTTTACGGCGGTTGACGGTTCGTCCGAGTTATAAGAGATCAATTAATGGTGTTGTCGCGTGTGTGAGTGTTTTTTTTTTTTTGTTTTTTTTTTTTATGAGAAAAAAAATTGTATTTATTTTTTTTTATGCGACGGTGAATGCCGTTTCGGAATTGACAAGGACAATAGGGAGCCCGAACGAATGAACGTTTTCCCGTGGCTGCCGCCGGAAACGTGCGTGCCGGCCGAAACGACGACGGGGGCTGCGGTCGCCCCTTAGACTCCGGGTGCGTTCCCGTCCGTCCGCACATCGGACGAGACGACGCGTGCACCGCGAGTGCACCGGACGATTGTGCGCGCGGTACGGCGGACGGAACGCGCGCGTCCCGGGCGTACTGCGGAACGGACGGTGGCCGACGGGAGCGCCGGCGAAACGCTCGATTACGACACGGCGCGCGCGGAGACCGGCGGCTCTCGGGTGTCGTGCGCGCGGCGCACACAGAAACGATATTGAATGGCGACGACGGTTTTTTTTTTTCCTCTGCGACTCGACAATCGCAAAAAAAAAAAAATAGAGACGTTTTACCGTATTTCGATCGCGCGCCATAATGTGTAATGTTGCGACCGAAATCGTCGAGCTGCCTTATCGACGTAGGTAGGCTGTGTGTCGCACAGTCGACGCGATATGGTGGTGGTGGCCGGTGTGGAATTCGTACAAATAACGACGCATAACAATAATAATAATAATAAAAAAAAAAAAAAAAAAAAAAAAAAAACGTAAAACATATTATTTTATAAACGCGTGTGTATGTACAAATAATAATCGTTAAAAAAATAACCGCGGTGGCCGTACACCGTCGTCGGGGGCACGAGTTTTCGAGACGGCGGACGTGGGATATTCGATTCTTTTTTTTTTTCTTTCTTTCTTTAGTTTTTTGTTTGTTTTGAAAATTGACTTTGCGCGAAACGGAAATCGGCCGCGGCAGCAACAGCACACCGCAAACACCGCAGGCCGGTCTGTCCCCGTTCGGTCCGCTTTTTCGGCGTGGAAAAAAAAATAAATAAGCGTTAAGCTCGTGTGTGAATGCTCTTCTGGTATAAAAAAAAAAAAAAAAACAAAACAGAATTTTAATTTTTTCTTTTTTTTTTTTTTAGATAAAACCGTTGTACTTCACTCACCTATACGGGAGACATTATAATATTAGTGTTGTTATTGTAGCAGGCGTGCGTTATCTATTGTCTTCCATGACCACCTGTTTGAACAGACTGTTGGACATGTGACACTTGACGTCCTGACTGCCCAGAGTGGTCGTACCGTCTTTACGGATGTACAACTGCAACCCCGACCCTGCGGAAAGAGAAACGCGTTAAGGAGATTGCGGCGGCCGAATGACATTTTGTTTGTTTTTTTTTTTTTTTTTTTTTGGCCAAGCATCACCGCCGAACAGCGAATCGAATCGCACTGTTTTCGCGGGACACGGGCTTTTTTTTATTTGTACAACTCGGACGTTTTACCGAGATACGTACGCGGTCTACAGTGAACAACTCGAGTTTGAAGAGAATAAAAAAAAAAAAAGTCGCCATTTAATTTCGTTTTCGCGATTTATATACGACAGGTGTCCATAAGTGCATATTTGTAATACAAGGTGTCCTAACATAGTTGTCCTTATCATAACAGTTCAACATTAATTCTCGTTTTTGTGTTGGGGGACACGTGTGTAGAGAAGAATAACCTTTTAATTCCTCATTTTTTCAAAATTGTCAAAACAGCAACTTAGTAAAAAGTTTATTATTCTAAAAAGAAATTTATGTAACACATACATTCATATACGATAAATAGTTTTTCAGCATAACAGCCGTTTGATTTCTAGAAAACTGACATGAAAACAATTAGTTTTCAATATAATATTGAACACGTTACGCGATAAGCATTCACAATCAGCACGGTAATTCCTTATCTCCTATTAAATACTAATCGTTCTCACATCTGTTTTTTTATATTTTAAAAATACTAGGAAACTATTAACCGGATAATCGGATATGTATGACTCATTACAATGTTTAGAACAATATATTTTTAAAAATTTTAAAGAACAAAAAATTATTTTTGTCAGTGATTAAGGAATGGAAATTTAATATCTCTCTACATTTGTATCCCCATTACACCTCGCACAAAATCCGATTGAAAAAAAAAATGAATAACACCGTAGGGCGCCTTGTATATATACAACGCGTTTCAAGTTTTTTTTCAGGGGGGGGAGTGAATGTTTCGTTTTGAGTACCTACAAGAAATTGTTTTTTTTTTTTTTTTTTTTACAAATCCATATGTATATATATATTTGTTTTGTTTACCTAATGGTTTTTTTTGTAAATTTATGGTCTTTGAGATTCTGAGCGGATCGTATTTTCGAACAGAAAACTTGCTTCAGTAGACAAATGATAAGAGACCCTTTTTTTGCATTGCGAATCTAATTGATGAGTAAGAAAGTATTTTTTTTTTTTTTTTTTATTTTCCTCGAGGTTATTTTAATAATTCAACAAAATCGAAAAAACGAGAAAATAATGATTTTACTACTTTAATTTTTTTTTTTTTTTTTTGTTGTTATTCAGTTAAAAATATCCATAGAAACTTGAAAATTTGACAGAAAATTTATAGGTACTTTCTAGGCGTGGTAAAATTTTTTAGCTATATAGGCATTTTATGTTTGCTAGTTTTTTTATGACAAATATAAACGCTTGAAAATTGAACAAGTACCCATCAGTTAACGTAGTATAACGTATAATATACGATTTTAACTGTTCTCTCACTTTGCTCGTTTTCTTCGTTGGCCGAATGGTCGTCCAGGTTGGTGGATCTGAGCAGTTGGTCGATCAGGCTGTCCGGATTGACCCTGGTCACCTCGACGCGGCCAGTGGCCTTTGCGCAGCAGTCGTCGGCGACGCTGCCGCCGGTCGCGACCGTCTTCTTGATGCGCCGCTCCAGCGCCGCTTTGCCGCGGTCCAGCGAACCCGCCTCGACGCCGCTGAGCACGGGCGACGCTTGGGACGCGGATATTGCCGTTCCGCTGGACGTCAGGCTGCAAGAGTTCGGTAAAAATAAAAAAAAAACGAACCGGCCAGACGGTAATGCCAGACTGCACGACAACTGCAGCAGCGGGGACGACTGCGACGCGGTTGCACAGGCGGATACGTACAAATTATTTTTTTTTGCGGGTTGGCGGGAATATTTAAAATTTTTAACGCTGATAAAACGTACGGATAGCACGCGATTATTCCGAAAAAAAAAAAAAAAAAAAAAGGCTTATAATTGTGCGGAAAGTGGGGTAGGAGGTCTCGATAACAAATAATAACAACGCGAGGAGCCGAGACCCCCGACCCCCTCTCCCCGGTCACCGGATATCCGCCTATGCGCGTCTGCAGTGGCGTGCACGGATAAAACGATAATAAATGTTAAATACGCGGGACAATTAATAAGCGGCGGCGAAAAATAACACTGTTACCGTTGTTACGGCTGCTGCAAAGCGAAAAACGTGCGGTTTTCGTTTCGTATTATCGTCGGAAAATGCCGTGCGGCGGTTTTACGTACCAATACAAAACCGAAAAACAAAAAAAAAAAAAAATAAAAATAAAAAAAACTAAGCATGATACCGATTAACGTACGTAATGACAAGCGAATAAAGTAATAGTAATCGCAGCTGTGCGGGATGACGGAGCGGGAATTAATGACGGTGATAACGCGCGCGTTAAAAACAATAATTGACGTATTTACTGGCCGTGTTTAATAGTTTATTGACGTGCGCGACTAGACAGAATTATTACGAGAGTTTTTATTTTTCGTCAGAGATACACTCTACGTATTGAAATCGAATTCAATTATAATAACACGTCGGACGGGGACTATGCGCGCATCGCGCCCGGGTGAATTGTGAATTTCTAGCGGTTTTTTTTTTTTTTTTTTTGTTGTTGTTCCCCGTTCTATTTTCCGGCGATGTTATTTACGATCGCGGCGAAATGATTGAAACCGATGGGTTTCCGAAGAAAAAAACAAAAAGCTCTATCCCATAAATATAAAACGCCCAGGGCGCGCGGGTTGAGCAGGAAGGCGGGTAGGACGCGGCAAGGCGGAGAGGACGTGAGAGGCAGCGAAGCTCCCTCCGGTACGCATACGCCGGGTCATTTATACCGCGATAAATCACCGCGAGACAAGCAAAAATAAGCGAAAACAATTATTATTGTTAAATATTACACGTGCAAAGCAAAGCGGTCCGGAGACGACGCAGGGGGTTACACTCGTGTCAATCGTCCCGCGGGGGACGGCGATTACGACACTGCGGGCCTTTTCGACACGGTCTTCCGTGTCCGCGGCGTCTTCCGGGCGATTTTTCACCGAATAAAATCGAATAAAACCGCCGTCGGTTTCGGTCTCTGGCGACGCCATACGAGTACCGGCGCGTGGATTCGGGAAGGGGTGGGGGATGGGAGGTACGGGATCGCTTTGCGTCTCGTACGATAATGATTCCGTCTTGTGTCTTTTGGATTTCCGAGCGCGGCGGATTTTTAACCGCTGTCCGTCCGATGGAAAGCTTTTCCGCCGGAAATATCGGTCCGATATTTAAAAGTATGTCGTTTTTTTCCGAAAGGCCATCCGTGAGAGTATCTAATTAGCGCATGAGGGAGGACATTTTTTTTTTATTCCTATTTTCTCAATAATCAGTTAAAACCGGACGAATCCGCGTAATAATGAAATATCGAAAACCGAGCAATTAATGCCGGATTGACAAATTAAATTATCGTCGAATTGCCGAACCGTCTAAAGTTCGAATTTCCAAATTTGAAACGTTGTTACTCCTCTTTTGCCGGCTTGGACATTAAATGGACAAAACGGACATTATGAATATAAAGTCAATTAAATATTAGAGACGACGGACATTTTTTTTTTCAGTCAAGTGTTTTTTTTTCAATTCAAACACTACGCATAGATAACAACCGATAAATACCGTACCGCGGTAAAATTGATAATTGTACTGCAACCAATCGGGAAAAACAAAAAAATCAAATGATAATCGCCGAAAAAAATCTCGAACAACATATTAATCAGTATTTACCATCGTTGAAATTTAACATATTAATATGCACACAATTTTACCATATTATTGTATTTTCATATTTGAGATGATATTTCGGGTGGTTTTGGCTAATCGTGTTGAGCACGACTGCCGGCGGCCCAACTAATGGCTTATTGGCATGACATAATTTTTTGTCCCGAGATAACGCCAAAATCGATAAAAATAAAAAAAAAAACCTACGCATTAAGTCATTTGTCGTCAGTATTTTTTAGGCAATTACTGTTGGGAATCAAGTAAATTTTACTACAGTGTTTATTTTTATTATAATAAAGTTTCGAGTCTTTCACTCGGACGTAAACGGTAAATTATTAAGTAGAAACTCAAACGCTAAAAACATTTATTAAATTCAACTTTCGAATATTTTACTCACGTTCAATTCGGTTCTCGCGAATTTGTATAAGTTTCAGAATTTAAATTGATTCGGAAGTGCCCATCGCTAATGTATACCGAAATTGAACTTTCACGGCACATTTTCTCAGGCCTTTACGCAGGTTTTTTGCAGACCGAACCGCGATTGATCAAATCAAAATTACTACTCGTATACGCGTTGAAGCATTAAGATTTGTATTTTAAATAATACATACATTACAAACATCCGACATTACAATATCGGAGTGAAAAAAACGCAGACGTTAGCGAATACTATAATAATTGACAACGCCAAAACAAAAAATAATAATAATAATAATAAAAATCCGAAGAAGAATAAAATAATAATAAAAAAAAACGACTTCGGCATGCATAATATTTTAATAATTGCACACATAATTTACGCGTCTCGTGCAATCGCGTCACACACACACACACACACACACAAATAGAGACGTGCTCGGGAATTTTCAACGGGGATGAGAGTAATTTTATTTTTTTATTAATTTTTCACAGATATCCGAGATTTCAGATTCTCCTTGAAAACTGTTATAATAGTATAGACAACGGCTAAACAACTATATAGAAATGCCGTCACTGACTTGTGGATTTATTAGTCACGAGCGCGGAAATCCAGTGCGTAAATATCATTTTGCCAGCAGTTTTCCTTTCACGAGATTTCAACAGGGCCGGATTACGGTCATATAATAGTCTGAAGGGGATTGTAAACGATGGGCGAGGCACTTTTACCCCGACGGATTTGTTTGGATTCTGAGCATAACGAATTGGCTTCAGTATAATAGACATCATATTATGATGCGTTTTTTTAATATCTTATTGTATCTGCTAACCACTTGTTTACCAGAAATCTTGTTCTAATCGAAAAAACGACAAGAGAACTTATAAAATGTTGTCTAGTCAATGAATCGAAGTCTTCTCGATAGCGGGGAAAAAAAGTCGGAAAAACGGGAAAAATTTACGAAATTACCGTTTCTAATACTAATAAATTACCGCGTTGATTGGCTGGACTTCTGTCGGCAACGATACGTTATTTTAATAAAAAAAAAAAAAAAAAAAAACCCCAGACGAAACATTGTGACCCCTTTCGATTTACAGCTTCTCCTAGACCCCCGTCCCGTTATTCCAGCCCCGAATATCAATTTCAGTTCACGACTGAAATTCGTCGTAAATACAATGCCATCGTATACCAGAAGTCTCTAAATCGTTTTGAAATTTAAAATACTAGCCGTTATAAGGTTTCGTCGATAATTAACGTTAACGCTATAAAAGTCACTATCCCGTGTACATAGGAGGCGCTTAAGACCCCACTGGTTTATTGCGTTATACACATGTACAGGTCACGCCGGCTATAACGCGCGGGCGGAAGTCGAATCGGAAACATAGAGAACGCCGGAATATCGACAAGAAAAAAAAAAAAAATCCGTTGTCCGCCCAAAATCCAATACTACGACGAATATATGCTTATGCGGCGAGCAAATAAATACAAACCGGGAGAAAATAATATTTTATTCGATTGTCGGTAATGTTGAATAATATTACACGACATCCGGCTTGTTTGGAAATAATATCCGGTCGATAAAACTTATCGCGCGATTTGTGTCGCTGACGGCCGATTATTATTGATATTTATACGGGTTTTCGGATATAATAATGAAACGAAAAACAAAAAAAAATCGGTCGGTCGTATTTTTTTTTAAATATATACCGCTATACACAGTCGAAATATGTCCGCTGTTCGGATATTATTGTTACGTGTACCTGCGCTATCGTGTGTTTTCCGCGATATTTTACGACCCCCTCGCGATTTTGACCGTCACCACGGCCCGTAAACAAAGAACGGCGGCGGACGGCTCAAGGAACGCGAACCGCCGTCTAAATTGTACGCGACGCTAGAGGGATGTGGAGGAGAGGTAGAGAGATCTCGAGCACGCCTCCTGTACGCGCGCGGGCCCGTCAAAAACGATCGACTAACATTTGGCTGGGACGCCTGAACGGCGACGACACCAGCGTGTCGGAATTGCTGAGCGACTTGTCCAGTTCCGGTAACCTCTGGAGCGAATTCGTGTTGTGCAGGCCCGGCAAACCAGCGGCGCCGCAACCGCCGGCCGAGCCGTCCAACAACTGCAGTTTCCGGTGGTGCATACTACCGACCCTGAACACACAACAAGGCACACGCACGCGCCAAAAAAAAAACAATTACAAAATGTTTCGTTATTATATTTTGTGGTACAAAAAAAAAAAAAAAAACATTTTTACACCGAGTGCAATAGTACACAAAATCCCGTTCTACACACGCCGTTTTTTAGTTTTTAGTTTTCAGTGGCGCACACCGTATACGGTCACGTAAAAGACGGACGTACACCGACGTTTATTCGCCGTTATTTTCATACTTTTCTACCCGTGTATTTTAAACGCACGCCCGCTTAGAGCCGTCAGGTCAGTGGCGACCGTGGTGTTAGATAGATGTTTTATCGGTTGTGAACACAGCTGAAGCGTGTGGAGTATTGTTATCGGATAGACAGACGGACAAGAACGAGGCGGCTGCGATACGTATAGCGAGGGTCGTGGAGGCGGCGCGCGGTGGTCAGTTACCTAACGGAGTCGGGGGTCGGGGGCAACAGGCCGGGCGACGAGTTGGTCCGCGGCGACGGTCCGGACCACGGCGGGAACCGGAATCCGCCGCCGTGCTTGTTCTCCGGCGTCTTGAACGTCTGCGCGTCCGGGTGGTGCGTGCACACTTGTGGCGACTGTTGCTGCGGGTTTTTGGATTGCCGGAGCGACCAGAACCTGGATCGCGGGCTGCTCCACGAGGGCGTGGCGGGAGGCGGCGGCGACGGCGACGGGGTAGCCGGTGGCGGCGACAGGCTGGGAGACCACACGGGCCACGACGGCGACCTGATCACACACACACGCACACACACTAGTATTGCGTCTCGTCACACGCACACGCGTATACACATAAATACATGCGCACACACATGCATAATTGTATGCATACATTCATACATACATTGCATATATTATTTATGTAAATACACGTACATGATTCGCGTGTACGCGTATAATCACAACGACGAGTACGACGCACGTTAAACAAAAAATAATATTAGTAAATTTAATTCGGGACCGGATTGACAAAATGACGAGCCGCCGGGATCGTAAACTCTGCAATTATTAATTCTCGTCCGAGTCAAGCAAATAATCAAGCAGTTTGTTTGTTTTTTTTTTTTTTTTTTTAAAAAACCTTTCTCATAGTACGGTCCTAACCTTTTTTTCATACGGTTATCGCGGGCCGCGGGTATAAAATAACCACGACTCTGGGACTTTGTTCTTGGAAATCAATAAAAATAACGCTAAAAAAAAAAAGGATCGTTTCTAGCGAGTAAATAAATAAATTAACTTCCTCATCTCCGGAGGTGGATTTCGGCGGCCACGAGTTCGACCGCGCTGTTTTATTTTATACAAATAATTTAACGGACATTTTTTTATTTTTTATCGAGTACCTACGGTTTTCAACAATTCCCGTTCGAATCGAAATTTTCGTAAAATTAGGTTTCCCGGCGATTTCCGCCGATTCAATCCGGACCCGAACACAAATGTCGAATCGCGTCACACATAAATACATTTTATTATAGTTCAATGGCGTAACCAACTTTTACCGTGTTGTCGGAAAATTAACTTTTTTTTTTTTTGTTCAAGTGAATGGGAGAATTAAAAAATGTACGCTCCCCCCTCCAATTTATTTGTCGGCTTGGCTACGCCACTGACATAATTTGTGTCGCCACGCCAAAAGCGACCGTGTGCAAAAATCATTATCATGTCAAAATGCCTATTATTTCATAGAATGATATCACAAACAGCTGTTTATAGGAACCACTTAACACGCATATAACGCTCGCTTATAATTAATATTACATTTTTTTTTTTTTAAATTACTTGATCACTTTTGACATGGCTACGGCGACGGCATACGCACATCGTGTGCGTTAATATTATTAACAATACGCAATACATAACAATATGATTATTGTACAAAAATTTTACATTATATTTATATATATATAAATATATAAATATGTACAATAAAGCTGTAAAAAAACAAAGAAAAATTAGTTCGCGAACGTCGTCAGATAACAGGCACGTACATATTATGAATTTGTCTAAAAATTAAACGGTTATTATATTCCTTACGGACATTAATTAACTGTAGTAAAATATTGTACCGTCACGACGATGTGTTCATACAAGGTGATTCGTTTGACGTAAAACGCTCGTTATTTCGCGAAATATTGACTTTTTTCAAATCGAATTTTCTTTAAGTAACAATTAGCTATAGCACGTCGAATTCCTTACATCGGCCTTATTTTCGAAAACGAAGCCGCATACCGCTTTTGATTTTCAAATGTCGAACTATATTAAAAATTCCACAAATAGATGCGTGTATTAAATACGTTTTTAGTTTTGATGTTTTTGATTTCCGTTTGACGAGATATTCTCTTTTAAGTTTTGGCGGGGGAGCGCGGCAGAGCACTAACGCCGCCATTCGAATGACGGTCCACCGCTCTCCGTCTACCCAAACATACAAGTGGAATATCTCGTCAACGGGTCGACGGATATCAAAAAAACGTTTAACACCGTAACATATTCAAACCATAGTACTCCGTCTCTATTTGTAGCATTTTTAATTAAGATTGCCGTTTAAACATCAAAAGTAGATAGTGGATTAATAATGACGTTCAAAAATAACGGTTAAACATTTTAAAATTACTCTTTTCATAAGTCGTCTAGAGAAAAAAAAATCTGAAAAAAGTAAACACTTTCCGAGATGACGAGTGTCTTATAAAGGATTGGTCGTCCTCTATAGGGCACATAGATGAGCAACGTATAATTATTAAAAAATATAATAATATTAATAAACGTAAAATCGGGTCTTTTTATCGTTACTATCACTTACCGTAATAATCTTTTCGTTATTAATTTCTCGTACATTCGACTGCGGTGAGAATATAATATAAATTGTTGTATATATACACTAATACAAATTATATATTTACAATGTGTACAGAATATAATCGGGGTAGCGACGGCGCGCGAACAGAACGGACATTTTCGCGTGACCCAAGGCGACCGGCGGGCGAACCAAAAAAAAAACATATTTTACGACCGACCGTGTCCGGTCTGGAGGCGTCTTAGAGAGGGAGGGGCAAGTTCCGAAGACAAGTGGACTGTTCGTGACGCTACCGACATAATACTACGACCATAAACTTTATCGTATTGTATACATATATACAACCATACAATACAGTATAATATTTTAGAGATAGGTATACGACCGCAGCAGCAGAAACGAGGTATAGATAATAATGTGGAAGCAGTGGGGAAATATTGTGAAAACAGAGCTCTCACTGCAGTCAGTGTAAACAAAACAAAAAATGGTAGGTATAGATAATATTATATTATACATCGAGAACTGAGAATGGTGTCGAGAAAAGGATAAATCCGATGGGACAGTCACAGAGATAATAAGTGAGTAGAGCGTATGGGTCAGTACCTATCGCAGACGTAGCCACTCCTCCCCCCACACCCGGAATTTTTTAAGATGAGCGAAAAGAAGAACGTATTGATTTTAATATGATGATGTGTAATTTTTTTTTCCTGTCTGCAAATAACTTTTCTACCAGAAATATCACTCGGTGTTCCAAGAGATGGTTGAAAAATCATAAACTCACGATATTTTGTGTGTATTATCCTCTTAAAACAGTACATAATAATGAAAATTATGAATGACTCCCCTCTTTGATTCTTTTTCAGTCTCAGTACTGACGACAAGATAGTCCATATATAGAGATAGTAAATGAGCCGAGTGTATAGGCGAAAGTCGGTGTAGAGGAAGGTCATCTGTAGAGTTTATGTGAAATAAATGGCGATGACGGATACACGGATGAGACTCGGGGGATAACGAATTTGAGAGCGACAGGCTCGGCTCGGATATAGAAACAAAAGCGATGAAGAAGAGGAAAAAGTATCGACACGACTTGCAGATATCGCGGCTAACAGTACGGATGTAGGGTGAAATGAGGTAATTATAAATAGATAATGCAATATTTACAAAGAAAATTTAATATTTATTTATTTATTGTTTATTTAGAAGGACAGTTTCCTATTAACAAGAAAAATTTTGCCCATTATTCGTATTATATTTTTGTTCTTTGTTTTTGTGCTCAAAATCAATGGTTCTTTAAAAAAAAAGATTTCATTAAATGAAGAAAATGTAATTTTAAATTCAATATTTACAATCACCTCATAATTAAAAATGATTTTAACTTATTGGAGGGTAATTGAACGCAATGAGTCTTTTTATAATTTATTTTATGAGTCTCAAGTGTAAATTATACTCATATTTACAATGGCCCTACTTTCGTTTTTAAAACCAATGTACAATTATATCAAAATATTTGTATATCTCCATGCGGTTGTGATAAGATGTAAAAAAAAAATGATATCGTTATTTTACATGCATTTTTGTTTACAATTTCCCTAATTTATAATTATCCTACTTCAACCAATTTATCTCAGTCACGGAATTTAAAAACTCCGTATCTCACGTATGTATCTGAAATTGTATACTAAGTATAAGTGCGCCCGTCGATCGCCCAGTAGTATTTATCAGTTTTTTTTTTTTATCTCGTCTGTTAATATCGATTCGCTGATGGAAATAAAAACACAATACTCTGTGGTAATTATTGTTGAATCGTATTTCCGACCTACGGATGCGGGTTAATTAATTAATTTTTTTGGTTTACGCTGTAAAAAAAAAAAAAAAAAAAAAACCGATGACATTATATTATTATTACCGGACGTGTCCGCTGTCACCGGAACTGCTATGCCTCGAATGCGAATTGTGAGAACTGGAACCCTTGCTGGTGTTCGACGAGTTCCGGGAATGTCCGCTCGAGTTGGTCACGTGATTGGTGGCGACCGCGGCGACGGCTGCTGCGGCTGCGGCGGCGGGCGCGACGCCGTCGCGGTCGTAGTGACCGATCTGTAGCGCGTCATCCTCCTGCTGCAACATCAGCAACTGATGATGTTCCGGGTGATTTTGATTGGGTTCGGCGTCGTGTTTTTCTAAACCTCCGGCCATGGATGGAATGTCTGCAAACCCAGCGGTATCTGACGATTGTACAACAACGATAATACCAAACGGACATGAATACCAAAATGAGAATAATTAAAACGTTTATGGACATATGTATGGACGCGGGACTGGGCGTCCATAAAAACGTGGAATTTAAAAATCTGAAATTCCAAAATCTGAAATCCGCGAAAATCTGGACCGGGCCACAATAAAACATACCTATACATATCGATCAATATTCTCTTATTTTTATCCAGTTCTGATTATTTTAAAAATTACTAATTTTGGAATTCCAGATATTTACTATCCTGGTTTGCCCGTTCTAGATTTTTTAATTTCTGGTTGTTACGCGCTCTCAAATGAATAAATGAGAAACGGATAATATATAAATGCCGGGGACCCGAGACAGGCGGTATTAGAGAAATGCATTACAGAGAACAAGTTAAGAACAAAATAAAAACGTTTCGTAAACTCTATTAAAGAAAAACGAATTATTAGTGCAAGACGTGTTAAAAGAAAAATCACGACCAGATTAGAGATCCCTACTTCGCATGTATTCGCTTTCACGTATTCCAATCTATAAAACAGCGTACTAAAAAAATTAGTTTATACGTATGCAATATTATTGACGTGTACACGTATATTCGCGAATTTTCAACACGTAGGTATTCAAGTGAATAATGCAATAACACGGATAGTAAATCCACGTGTATTAAGTATACGCGAGTACACATTTTTCATTCGCGTCTACACGGACTCTTTTTTTCACAAGAAACTAGAGGTTTCTAGATCAGATGATCACACGGTCACACGGGGGTTTGACGGGGGTCGACCGGGACTAAACAGTCCCGATTTAAAATAACGTGTTTGGGGTGGGGAAGGAATCGCAGTATCAGCTCCGGCGGTAGTTTCTAGAAACTTTTATGGACGATGCGTACATTTTTCATTAAATTAATAATAACGTTATTGTAAGTACGACTCGCCGTTTCGGTCAGAAAACAATTTCGTAATAATAATTATTACGGTTTTTTTTTAACGTTTTCGTACTGGTATTTCCTATCTGTTCGGACTCGTGAAAAACCGACGGTTTTCTTTTTCGCGACGAAAAACAAAAGTCTGTTCATTTTAAACAGATGATTACGCAACGCCAAAAGGTACACCGAGTATGATTTCAACGTACCTTGTCGGTTATAACACAGACGATTTTTTTTTTTTTTTTTTATCACGTCATTAAACAATATTGCGACCGTCCCCGTTTTCGCCGGGTTGTCATTCAAGAGAAATAAAAACTTCGGGTAAACTATAGAGTACTCCGGCGGACGTCACTATGAAACTAGCGCGATGAAGACGACTCAATATATTAACGAATAAAACGACCGGAGGGCACATTCCGAATGTAGGTCGGCGAGTCGCGTTTAACGGCACAATAACATCATACGCGTTTAATATAAGTATATTATGTATATACATAAAAACGCGAGAAAAAATATGAAATCTAAATCTGCTCTACTATTGCATGCCGGCGTCGCCGAGACGAGGATCGTTAGACGAAAAATCGCGGCAAACGATCGAATAGGGGACGAGAGAAATAGTTTGAAAAACAGCGGGACAAAATGGCCAAAAACGATCGTAAATATACGTACGGACAGCTGAGGCGATACAAATAGTCCACTCTGACAACACCACAGTCTTATCGATTTATAGTAATATAAGAACATGACTAGTCGTCAAAATATTTACTAAACCTTATATAAATACATACAGGGTATTCGAAATTGTATGTTACGATTTTGCGACATTATGAATAGGATACTTTTACGGATACTCTATATAATGCTATTCTCAAAACCGTAACATACGGAAGACACCCTGTATATACACTTAAAAACCTTTAAAGCCATTAATATTGTTATTAATTAGACACCCGCGTATTAATGCGATGACGCGGTGTATTTCAGTCGGACATTCGTGCACGCATAAAAAACTTATCTCTTAATTTATTACATCACGAATGTTTAAAAGTTTTAAGATTCTGAGCGCACATGATGTGTGTTTTGAATTGTTTATTATTTTGAGTGAATAACTTTTCTACCAGAAATATCGCTCAACAGTATACCATTTTTTCTGAAAGCAAATTGTATCTAGTTGGTACATTGGAAAAATCATTTTTTTAATTTTCTTATTCTTATATTATTCTTTTTGTATTTTTCCGAATAATCAGGAAACCGTGGAGAGAAAAACGTAAGTAAAAATATACGGCAATTTTTCGTTGTTTTCGATTTTTTTTTTTTTTTTTTTAAATTCGGCTAAGAATAATCAAATAAACTCGAAATTTGCACAAAAAACTTAAATTAATCTTGTCTAGACATTGTGAAATTTTGAAAATATTATTGAGGTTTTAAGCTATACAGTATAGGTATTTGATATTTTGAAAATTAAACAGAAAGTTATACTTGGTGGTAAAAAAAAAGTAAAATGTTTAAAACATGTTTAACCGAACTTCGCTCAAAATTGTACGTCATAATTAATGGCCAATAAATTTGTGAAACTAATACATATCTAGTACAAACAAATTGATTAATCTCTTGGTTCACGCGTATACGTAACCTAACCTACTCGTTATCAGTGTTTCGTGATCCCCGGGTTAAAAAAAAAACCAGTGAGTAGACGAGATAGGAAATTTTCTTCAATTTGTCATACCAACATAAATATAAACGTAAACGTCAGTTATCGGATTTGTCGATCGAGTCAAAATATGAGCTCACCTGACGGAAATAACAACCGTGTGTTGGGCAGACTGCCGAATCCGCTACCGGGGTATTCGGCGTCCTCGCCTTGAGGAATATCACCGTTGGCGATGGGTTTTTGATTTAACGCCGACGATGGCCTGTAAAAATCATAAAAAAAAAATACATCGTATATTTTTGTACGTGTAAAACGACATCCATAACATTAACAATAACAATCAGTAGCAGCAGACAAAACGATTATAATATATCCCATTCGAACGTTACCAACTGTGTCGCGAGAGTACATTCGCCCCAATTTTATTTTAATGAATTGCATTACCATATAATGTACGGTTTTGTCGGTTTCTAAAATCAATATTATATAGAAATCGTTATTTTTAATATTTAAAATAGCCCGACCGGGAGAGTATATACAATGCGGATTCCGAGTTGTAATTTATTTACAGTAATTTTAGTTGTAATTTATTGTGTTATTGGCTTGCAGTTTAATAATGCATTTCAAACATTATGTATTAGAGACGTACTCATGGGGAATAAAATAATAATGATATATCCTTCTTTAACCTTTATTTTTTAATAACTCCGTTTATGTTTACGATTTTTTTTTTTTTTTTTTAATGTTGTCTTTTTTATTAATATTTGATGGCAGTATTCAATACAAAACCATCGTATCGTAATCATTTACTTAGTAATCTACTTTATACCATATAATGGCATTTTATACTGTAATATTTGTATAATAGATGTATTTTTGAAGGATTAAGGTACCAAGTATATTAGAATTTATTAGAGAATATTCTACCTGAAAGTAATTCTAATAAATTTATACCTTCAACTAGTTATATTTAGGCCCCGCCTCCCCCATTGAACGACAATTGTGAGTACGCAATTATTGTGTATATAGGTATAAACACGTCGCCCAGGAATTATTGGATCATTATTGCACGAGCACTGTTACATTATTAAAAGTTGTTGAATAAATATACACAATTAATAAATATATATAAAATTATAACAAGGGAAATTTGAGTAGGAATGGTAAATATATCTTTCTGCATCAGCAACACTTACGCTTTAAATAGTATGTCTCCAGCCAACATGTTCATGGAAACGGATATTCGGAGCATGGAGTTGTCTTGCCTGTGATGTCGGGTGTCGTATCCTTCCAGGAGACATCGCCTTGAACTCAGTCCGGCACCGGCCAGTTCGGCCAGATTGACGTCGGTAAAACCGAGTTTCTGAAAGCTCCGGCCACCTTTTAACTCCTATGTACATATAAGTGCACATCACGGCAAACAATACAATATATAGAATAAATTCGGCGTTTTCACCGACGACGGTGACGATTAAAAATATACACGAAACGCCGTACAGAATATTAATATATTTGCACATACTTTGCGAACGGATATCCTGAGGTTACACGGGTCTAATATACCGGTGGATGCGTTCGCGCTCATCTTGCACACGAACTCGAACTTGGCGCCCCATCGAACAGTATGGTCTCGTACCTCTTCCCTGGAACAACGAAACGAAAATGCTATCGTTAGTATAGAGCTGACGGTTTTTCCGGTATATGTTTTAGTATATTAGCACAACAGTTAACCGGTACACCGGTTATGACTCAATTACTGCTCAAACAGTATATAATATACCGTAGTAATTCCCAAACACTACGGACCACTTAGAGAACTTTCAAGAGGTCCACATTAGGAACCGCTCTTATGCGATACATACCAGTGATACTGCGGTATACCATAAACCGTAATACCAAAATACCGACGTATACCAGTTAGTGACTTAGTGTTTAAATACCACTTGAAGGGTTCACCATATATAATATCAGATGACTGACTAATATTGTATTGAAACTATTACTTCCACGGAATAAAAAGTTGTACAATGATTTACACCGATATCAGTGTTGCTGCTTATACAATTATGCCTTCATGCAATAATAAAAAAAACAATATCAACCAGTAATATAGAATCTGCTGATCGATTTTTGTTTACTTGTGATCAAAAGTATGATCCTAAAGAAACGATCCGTTAAACAACCTGATATCATATTATGCGCTTGTTTAATTTAGTTACGAAACACGTCGTATTCTGCCGCATTTTGACGGTATATTGAGATTATTAAAACAAGTAGCCAACATTCCGTGTTATTTCAGAGCACGTTTATCAAATTTCAGTAGTTTCAGAGACTCGAGGTCACTAATTTATTTAACATAGAAAAAATGTTTGTGTCACCCCTTTAATAATACAGTGTTTTATTTTTATATTATTGTTTACCAATCAATACTCATAACATTTAACAGTGAAAAACCGAAAAGTGCAGTATTCCGGTTCTCCGGTATGTGACGCTATTAGTTTTCCGGTATACATTGGCATTGCGGTGCACCGTCTCATACCAATGCCGAGTCTAATACCACAATACCGGTATCAGATTTCAATACCGTTAATCTTAATCGTCAAATGATAATATTATATTATAATAGAAAAAAATAAGGTTTTAATACTTTACTTTAATTTCACCTCACCGGCATTTAATAACAGTTAACGAATGGACGACTACGTGAGTCATTATACAATACAAACTCACTCCCTATATTTTATACGTATGAACGGGAGTAGCAAGTTGGCACGACGGCATAAAAAATATCACGATCGAATCTCCACCAATAATTTGCTTACGAGTAATTTTCAATTCCATTTTTGGTTTTTTTTTTTTTTAAATGTACCGCGGGGTTTACGTAAACATGTTTATGTAAACATAAAAACACAACAAGAGACAAAATATAACAAAGTTTTAGTATCCTGGTCGATTTCATGAGACAAATTGTCCTAAATTTATACACATATACAGGTACCAATAATATAGCTGTTCTTAATTTAGTTTTTTAAACTCCGCTGCACATTAATATTTTAATTTTAGCGAATTATTTACGAATAACGTCTTGCTTGCGCCAATATCAATAGTTATTACAAAATAATTTCAAACTGGTTTGTAGAACATACCAATAAGTGTTGAAAAAGTAACTTCTACGCCGCGGATTTCAATTACTATAAAAATTATAAAAATGCATTAAATTAATTTATGTAGATATTATTATTCTAAAATCAAGACCAACATTGTATATTTTCAACTATCTATAAATATTAACAATTTTATGAGCATTCCTCTACGTGAATTGCGCATTAAAAAAAGGTATAACGTCCAAACACTGCGAAATCCATGTACAGTGTGGTACATATAATCAATGCATCTGCATCAATAGTTTGTATAATCACAATCTACATAGTCCCGGCTCCATTGGTCGTTTTAGATAAAATTTCGAATAAAAATGTTATAAGACAAAAGCTTGTACTTAAATAGTTGTCGGCCAATTGGACGATTTATATCGCATATAAACGTCATATTTACCATCGTTATAAAAATTGTATCAGGATTTCCAAATCGTATTCCTGTCCAAAATATAAAAATACGAAAAATACTTTACGAACAAAAACTGTGTAAAGACATGAATTATCATAGAACTATAATATGTTCGTGATACAGGATAAAGTGAACAAAATAAATATAATAGATTACAGTTTTTAAATTAGTATCCGGTACGTTTTGTCGTTTAATTTGAAAATGTGTACTTATATATTTTCATAAACACAGTATCTAATTTATTTACCACGGGTAGTTAGTAGACTGTTTTACTGCGATATTATTATATTGCATTCGTACTAGATTTATACGAAATTTATTTTATTTTAGAAGTTTAATTTATAAGTCGATTTTTTTTTTTTTAAACGGTCTCGTTAACAATCACAACTGATTTGTATAACCGAGTTGGCGTAGTTTAATGTTTATAAAAATTGATACCTACGCGCGTTTTGTCTCTCTGCAGGCTGCAATTTACCGTCGTCGCCAACTTATAATTGTATTTCGGTGGGTGGCAAAAGTCCTATACCGCTGCAGGCGCATTCTAATTCCGGCGGGGAACCGTCAATTTTGATGAGGGAAGAGGAGGGGTTTATTTTTTTTTTTTTTGTCTTCGCGAACAAATATTACCTTCAGTTTTACTTTCACATTATATATCGGAAGCTCATCGGACGAAAATAAATAAACGTATACAGTCAAATATTATACACATCACTGCGGGGTATTTGGCTTAGAGGGAACCTCCTCCTACCCTCCTGTGATAAAACTTTACACGTGCGTCTATAGAAAGTTGTTGTATACAACAATCAATGGCATTTGTGTTTTTTTCCGCCATCGATTCCTCCGAAAAAATTCTATATACTGTTGTTTAGCATTTAGTACGACTAAAATTATATTTTAAAACGTACGTTACCGTATGCTGTAGCACAAGTATAGAAACAAAATTATTAACAATCAAAACGGTCAGTCCTACAATATTATAACACTTTGGACCGTATTTTTACGTGCACATTATCAATATCATAAAAGATATTATTCAACTCACTGGAATAAGGATAATACAGCATGTAAACACCTTAACTTTTCTGATACATACTTATAACCAGACTTATAACTTTTAAGTACAACTACCTACTTTTATAAGAATACTTATTTTAAAGCGTATAGCTTTCAAAAGCTCTATGTACGATAATACATTTTAAGAACGTACCCATAGATATTTTCAATATATACGATATAAGAATACGTTTACATAGTTTAATACGATATTTTTCGGTATCGATCCTTTTCACGTACTTTCATCTTTCAGATAACCTTATTTAAGTTTTGAGATTACTATGTAGTGGTCGGAGTCAGCGTCTGCAAAGTATGAGTTTTAAAAAAAGTGGACGATTTTAAATATGTGGCTATTAATACAAACAGCAGTAATAATATTACGCATAAAGAAATAAATAAAAACATATCAAACAAAAATATATGTTATTCGGTAAAAAAAAAAATATTCAGATAAAAACTATTATTAAGCAAATCAGAAATTGTTTTATATATAAGCTAACTTAGACCAACAGTAGCCATGCATGTGAGACTTGGTCCAGGACAAAAGAAACTGAACGATTGTAATGTGGTTGGGATATGTATGAATAGCGGACGGGGATGTATTAACAAATTTTCTTACAAGAAAAATAAACAAGAAACAATCAGTCGGTAGACCAAGAACCAAATTGATATGAATACTATATAAAAAAATATGAGACTAACAGATGAAAGTGCAATAAAAGACTGAAAAAGAGAATGACTAAAAGGCTTACTAGTGGCAGAGCAGGTCTTTAACGGGCTGTTAAGTTGTTAAAAAGAAGATCATTTAATAAAAATCCCGTACAGCTGTATAATAATATATTCTTAAGTAGTAGTCATAGCCAAGGGTAACAATAGAGGTAAGCAGTCTTCTCCTGAAGTCTTCAAATTCCGAATAAAACGAAGGAATATATTCGTTTTACAATAGTGTAATTATTTTTTTTATTAATTATTTTATTACTCTGAACATCAACTTTAAAAGTGATTTCTAGTAGAAATATCATAGAAATCACGGGATTTCGCGAACTATTTTCCAATTAAAATGAACAAAAATTATTTGGGATTTATAAATATGAGTTTTTATAATAATAAAAATACAGGAAATCGTAATTTATTTTGTGATCACAAATAAATACAATTTTCAATTTAAGTTCATCAAAACATAATTAATCTAGCTTCGTTCGGAATCGTTTTTCGTTGACAATGATATACCGTTGCTTACAGATAAAGGTACCTATAATAAACTAAATTACTCTGTATATTTTATCTTCTCAAATTTTAGTTACTAAGATTATTATATTTTGTATGTATTTTATTATTCTCGAAGCCAGTAATTATAATAACACAAATTATGAGTGCCCCCCCCCTAAAATAAACGCTACCGATGTATACAATAAGTATACCTAAAACTGCAACACGGTTTAGTGTAGACACGAATTTGACGATAATTATTATTTTTTTTTTTTACAGTGCACTAAATAATACAATAAAAATATGTCGGAAAAATAGACACTGTACCTATTTATTATTATTATACTTAATGACGAAAAACTCGTATACAGTGACGTGTCTAGGTAAATTTGTATTTTTTTTTTCTAACTATAGGTACGTTTATATAGTTGGCCCGTCACCGCGTACACGTGTGTACACACGTCGAGAGAAAAACTTTGGACGTGATTGCGCACGCGTTTCGTGCAGTATAATATGCACATAATAATATTCTCCTACTATAAATACGCATTTTTTTTTTGTTTTTTGTTTTTTTTTCTAAAATCGGTCGCTCGAAAGTCGAAACGCGTTTGACAGAACGCTACCATATACCATATTATATTATATACGGCACTTTCCGGGCAGAGCAGACATTCCGTAAAACTGTATACGGAAACACACGTGTTTCTCGTTTGTTGGCTTCGAGGCAGCGTATATTTAAGCGGCGTGCGTTGCCTATATACGCGCATTATAATATACACATATACGGTTTTTTTTTTGTTTTTTTTTTTTTAATTTTTTTTTTTTTTTTTTTTTTTTTAATTTTTTTTTTTTTAGTCGAGGAGACGATGAAAAGAATTTAGCGCCAACGAAATTGGCTGCCGTCCGCCGCCCAGGAGGAAAAAAAACCACTGTGTTTACTATATAATACTGTACGGAAGGATTTCGACAATTTGGACGGTTTCCAGCGGCAGCAGCAGTCTGTGAGAAAACACATCGAATCAAATCGGCGTGTATGATACCGCGACAACTCATTCGAACCCCGTTATTGCCGATGCACATGCAGATGACCGTGATAATATATACGTACATATTATTACAATATAACGTATATACGTATTAGATTATATGGTGTTATATGTATACACACACGGTCGATAATAATATATTTATAACGAGACGAATGAAAAAAAAAAAAACGAACGCCGATTAATGGCGCGTGTTCCGTACGCGTGTGTAAATGTGGAAAATCGTAACAATAATATTATATTCGAGACCGTACGAGCGTATTTAGAAATCCGATGAGAACGCGCGCATCGTCGTCTCGTCGAAATACGATAAACGTGTAATCGACGCGTGCATACTTGCTGTGCCCAAGAGAAACGTAGCGTACTGTTTATCGGTGTACCGAATGAATACGATAGTAATTATTATAGCCGGGTCGCGTGTAAACGGCGATTTTTATAAACAGTCGGTTTGACTGAATCTATCGGTTCTGTAAAACTACGGAACGCGTTTCACGGACGCGTGTTCCATTATTATCGTCCGAATAGGATGACGTAGTACTGTTATTACCCGTGAATATCGTAACACTCGTATCCGTATCAAATATTACAACGTCGTAATACAAGTATATATTAACGAAACAACGAAATTCCAAGTCGTTACTGGTTGTGTTTCGGGTTCGATTAAAGTTTGTTTTAAATATCGCGGTAAAATCCGAACCGTCGTAAGTCCTCGAGATAATTTGATCAATCTCTAAACCGCCTTGGCGTTGATGATGATTAATCGACATTTTGAAAAATCGTCATAGTGTTATCTTCGTCTGATAAACACGACGTAACTAACATTTAATAGGTTTGATACGTCACCGAGCGGATTAACGCCCCTGTTACGAGAAAATTGAATTGCTATTCTACGTGATAGCAAAATTATAAATAAACGAGACTGTTCGCAGAATACCCCGCGGTTAAACAGCTTTGCAAATTTAACGGAACTGAAATCGGTTCAACAAAAGATCCAATAACCCTGTGCTTGATGAACGCTTAATCGTTTTACGAAAACGGTTTTTTTTTTTTTTTTTTTTTTTTTTCATTAATTTTACAATAAAGTTCCACGCGACCACGGCAATTATGTACATTGGAACATCTATACTCTTATTATGTTTCGCGACAAAGACGGCGTGATTCCATTTAAATTTTAAAATCGACTTAAAATTCAATGCTACTTAAATGCGATAAATATGATTTAAAACGTACACGGCCAACGGTCGCCGTATATTTGTATGCTCTGCACACTAAACAATATATACGAGAGACGAAACAATAACAAAGCCCATAAGTTTTCATTTGAACGACTGTAATATATAATTAGATTAACCGAACGTATATAATATACGAAATCCGTTTAAAAGTGTAAACCGCCGAAGCAAAAAGTTTCAAACGTGTTCGAAAACAGAAACCAACAACAATCCGACAGCGAAATAACAATAGAATAAGAATACTATTATTATTGTTATTATTGTATATACCATATTTCCCAGCAGTCGCTAACGGTTAACTTTCGCGGTAAATAAAATGTAAAGTTTTACGATAAATACGATCGAAATAATATAATATAACAGCGGTTGCAGTGCGCTCATGGCGATCGTCGACTGTACGAACAATATATTTTGGGTTTGTGTAACTGATAATAATAATAATGAAAAAAAAATTAATAATATTACGAAAAAAAACCCTTGTATAAATTTAAATAAAACGAAATTGCGAATACGTTTTTAAAATAAAAAAAAAGAAAAGAAATCGTGTTGTTCGAGAGAACAACTGCGGGGTTTTGACGGCGTTCAGCGAAACGCAAAGGAAAAAAAACTAATTCATTGTATAAACACGTCAACGCTCCGTATAAATTAAATTACAACTTATTATTGTATTTATACAGAGCGATCCACGGAGATAAACCATTCTAAAAAGTGATAATATACAGGAGCAATGCTAACTCCCATCACTATACATTAAAATGGTAAATCATTCCGAGGCACTTCTGTATATAATATAATAAATTGTGAACTTTTATTGTTACACGACAATATGCTATTTAAATGAAGTATTATGCCGAACAATGACTTTAATCTGTCACTCCAGCCCTCTGAACATTTGTATCCGTGTACGACAGTGTTTTATAGGTACGCCGTCGATGACGATTTTCCAATGTATTTTTTAAATTTTAATAACAATAATTTTCCACTAATTTACTGTACAATACCACGTATGGCCGTTTTTACAGACAAATATGACGCTTTGAACCGAATAGTCAGACAGAACTGTTGGAATTGCGTTTGAAGGATACTAATTTTGAAAACGTATGATTTTTTTGGTTCTTTATACTTCGGAATTATATTTTTAATTTTTATTCTCATTATCGTATAAGTCAAAATCAAAATACTGGATATGTAAGGTATATGGTACTTTTTGAAAAATGCAATCAAATTTTTTTACGATTTCCAGTAAAATAATACAATTTAGATTGCCAACTTATATACGATATATCTAAGTTAAAAAAAAAAAATTAGAAATCGTTACCAAAATTATTGAAAACCTTCAGATATCTACAATTTCTTACGGTTTTTCTAACAATCCTGTATTCCTACAATTTTGCCTGGCTTTTACGTCAAAGTAAAATATATGCAATCGGATTTGAACTTTTTAATAACGTTAAGACATTTTGTGAAATACAAAAATTAAACCCTAAACACTTCTCGTAATAACTACCACTTTTATTTTCGTTTTAACGTTAAAGGCTTGTAAATGATTGACTCGGAATTTATAAAGATCAAAATAGTTTAAAAAAAAAAAATACTCTACTTCAGAATATGAAATTAATTTATAGAAAGGAACTTGTGTACAAAAAAAATCAATTAAAACTGCAAATATTGACCGAGAAAATTAATATGTAGACCGTTCAGTATTGAATCGTTAGGTTCTATTGTAAATTGTAAATATTGTTTTTTTTTTTTTTAATAAATAAAATAAAATTACTGATACTGGGAACGGGTGTACCACTGTTGTAGATGGGAAGTTGGGAATGTAGGATAAATAAAGTTATTTAATTTAAAACTATATACAACGATAAACCATTGCTCACAAAAAATGATTCAGAGCGAAATTCAATTATAAATGTTTTGAAAGGCCGTATATTTACGATTTTCGTCAAAATTTGATATTAAATCTTATATAAACAAAATACTACATTAACTCGACTTTTTTTTTCCACTTATAGTACAACTTATAATGAACCTTCTGTTAAATTTTCGAGCATTTCTGTAAGATCAAACCATTTTATTCACAGCAGAGTACCAACTGTATAAAAATTACGTAATATTTCTAATAAATATAGTTCGCAAAAATTAAACACTATAAAATCGGTAACGCCGTGAAGCGTCGTACATATTTGCCGTTTTAACTATAATTATGTTTTCGGTTTTTCGCGTTTATTATGAAAACCTCACCAAAAAATGACCTCCAAATTGCACCAACTCGATAAAATTTGAGAAAAGGTACTATACACTTGATACATCAGAGCAATACTTCTAGTAGAACAAACACAAAAAATTAAAATATACAAAAAACACAAATCGTAGTAAAACCAATAAATCCCTCGTTACGTTCCGAATCTAAAAATGTGTAGAATAACACCGTTATATTTATTTCACAATTATTGTTTAATAGTATGTTTATAAAAAGTACACACGAACCGGGTGTTGGACACTCGTCTCACTTCGCTCATTTTTTTTACGCAATTATACGGCTATAAATAAGGCGACTAATCGCATGTGATTTGGTGCAGTTCAGCGTGTTTACTGCCCCAAAGTGTTAACGGATATACAAACAAAATAGCGTTATCAAAAAAGAAGAAAAAATCACACATATTATAGTTTATTCGACAAGAAACTAAAGTGTATTATTCTTGCGTATAAAGAACGGAATTATTTCTACTATGGGCCAACACTACAAAATACAAATGGTGGATACCACCCATGATCGGAAACGGTAAATATTTTAACTGGATAAAATTAATTTACTAGGTTTAGCTATATTTATATTTGAAGTACTTTGTTCCGCGGAACGTGACATTTTCATTATGGACGCCACTCAACTCGTCAATACATTATGCAACTAAACTTTCGTATTAAGGACTTTTAACTGCGGATATCAAAAATGTACTATAGTACCTACAAAACCGACGTCATCGTTTAATTTTTTATGATTTCGATTTACGAATTTTAACGGCAATTCTTATAATCCATCAATGTAATCACTTTTCTCAGAACCTGACCAAACCGAACAATGTATATACATAGGCTCTGGGTTAGTTTTTAGTAATCGATTCCCTATATCATTGATTACTACAAAACTAACGGCTTCCAATTTTCGAATATTAATTTTACACTTAAATTGTAAATAATTTGTTTAAGATTCTGATTTAAACGAGGAATATATTGGTTATGTTATTTTTTTATTTTTACTTGTCTGTAAACAACTTGTTTACCAGAAATCATGTTGCAATCAAAAACTTTATAGGAATATTTTTGTTGCATTATTAATATAATTGGTACAATGGGGTGGTCATATTGATTTTCCTTGTAGCTTTCGCGAGATAACTATTGTTAATTTCTGTATTTCATTTCCAACAAAGGAAAAAATATTAATTATAATATCCTGCTCAGAATCGTTTTTTCGTTAATAATGATTTATCATTACATACAGATATCAATTAAATTATTCCCTCTCTTTATATATCTACATCCTCCCTTCCAAATCCTCTCCTAAAACAGTGACACACCCAACAGCAGTATCTGCTTTTTTTTCAAATTCATTTTTTGATTTCCTTGCAGTTTAATTTAATACCAACGTGTCGAAAACTCACTAGAGACATTCGTTATCGACGCATTTTTATTTAGTTTTTTTTCCGACAATTCGAATTCAACAATAGCGCCTATAAAGTTTAACAACTCTACCAAGGCCTTTTCGCATTCACAATCAATATACCGCCATATATTAATAATGTTACATTTCAGCGCTATATATTTTGTTAAAAGCAAATTCTAGTGTTATCGCCCTCTCGATGTATGTATTATTCTTATTTGTCATATTACGTACGTATATATATTATATAATGACAAAATAATAATATTATGAACGATTCAACCGTACGGTTTCGAACCAAAAGAAGAGCGTGTAAAAGCTATTGAAAAGCGTCGGCGGTATATATAATAATCGTAATTACAATTACGTCCATCGGGTGTAAATCTTTATGGCTGCGTAAATATTTAATGCATTTATTAATGAATAATACATCGCTATACGCGTAATCCTTATAAATCGTTAAACACATATAACAAATTGAATTGCGAATTCTCTAACACTATACGGTGAAGATGAGTTATAGAAGTGATATATTAATAATGTTATGTTGTACAACCGTTAAAGAAAAAAAAAGGTATCAATATATGTCTGTCTGGAATTGAAAGGAAAAAAGCCCCTGCTGTCAGAAAAAAAAATGAATACATAAGAAGGTCGATATTTTAAAAAATAAAAGCGAATAGCATAAATAGAGGTTCGGTTAAATTTGATTTGAAATGCCGTGATTTGAACGATTTTCGTTAAAATTTGAACTTGCAACGCTTTGGTATTAAAAAAATCTAGAAAATGTCAAATACTAATAAATAACTCAAAAATGGATGAAATGGTTTGAACTACGTCTAGAAAGCGCTAATATATAAGTATACTATGCGGAATTCAGTTTTCGACAATTATGTTTAACCGAATAACAACAAAAACAAAATCAAAAATAATGAAACTGTTATTGCTGTACATTTTCCAGATTCGAATACGTTTTTTTCCAATTATCAATAAAAATACAAAAAAATCAGAAAATAACTTACCCTGCAAAACATAAACTAGACCATATTTGTTTTAAAAAACGATGTTCAATTGAAAATCGGAGAATCAGGATATCAGAAAAGGTTTCTGGTAGAAAAGTCATTAACAAACAAACAAACGGACATAGGTCGGTCCCTGTTGTAAGTGAGAAGTTGGGAAGAGGGGAAATTTAATGTATATCCGTACGCAACGATTAATCATTGCTAATAAAAAACGATTCTGAGCGGAGCTCGATTATATGTTTTGAAAAGCCGTAATATTTAAATCTACATTTTTTTCAGTTTTCCCCATTTATAATGAAAACCCATTAAAAAATCAAAAAATTAACCTTTTTAATATACCAACTAAGTAAAATTTTCTTTGAGAAAAGGTACTACACTTGTAAATCGGAGCAAAATTGTTGGTAGAAAAGTTGTTTACAGAAAAATAAAAATAAAAAACATCATAAAACTAATACATTTCTCAGTTCGCTCTGATATTAAAAAATGTTCGTACTAATTAAGTGAATAATATGATATAGCAAAATTTTATTGGGAATCTTATTGTTATGAATAATAATAAGAAATAATAAAAATAATCATATTCTGTTTTGTTTCTTTTATATATATATAAAAAAAAAGAGAATTAGAGGAAAGTACTCATAATCATGCAGCAGGTTTTAATCGCATTCGCTAATCGGTTATTATTATCATGGCTAACTAACTGTGCATTATTTTTCTCTGAATTTTAAAAAATTATTATAAATCACATATTCAATGAAAATAAAAAGTTTACTCGTTAAAATGTTCAAAAGTATAAACTCTATAAAATAGCTATCTTTAAATTTTTCAAAAATAATAACCAATACCTTATGCCTAAAGTTAAATGAAGTTTAAAATGGAAAATATCATCTTGGATCACTCCATTCAACAAAACTAAGGAAGTATTTTCTACGGACAGTAAAATTATTTATTGTCTTGTGTACAAGTGTATGGTTTTATTATGTAACTTTAATATATTTTTCATTGAAATTTTAGCATATTTATACTGCAATTTTTATATACTTTCATTGCAATTTTGACACAATATTTTTAACGGAATTAAATCCGGTTTTTACACATAACATAATAGCATCTTATAATATTGATCCTAATCTCTTGTTGAATTTTTTAACTGGTCGAATATTTTACGATTAATAGGTTTATGGTTAATGTCCGGTGATAGCGAAATAAACTGAGTCACAATAAAATTGCATATAAATTTAACTGCACATTAATTGGATCTTAAATTCTCTTAATTAGAGATTGATTAAATGAACCCAAATGATATATATGAGACGTGTAATTATCGTGAATGGACTATTCACAAAAAAACGTGTTTTTATTACTTGGTTTTATTTCTGTGCTGTCCATTATTATTTTTTAAATTATCTACCTGGGTACATGTATATTCAATTACAATAGGGTTTTGTTTTTCTACGATCGGGCTTTTTTTTTTAACTCCGTCCGCGTTATATCCGTAGGAAGTAGCTATAGGTAGTATAGCATTCCGGATTTCATATTATAGACACGGGTAAACGCGTTCCCTCCCCCCCTCCAAACCGTTACAAATGCGTATTCGTTCTAGTTAAGGTATATATATATATATATGCGTGCTGGTTATAGATACTATAATACAATTATAATGTTGTGGTATCGACCCCAAATGTATACCATAAGTAGAAGTAGTAGTACTTTTTATAGTAGGTAGAAGTGGATAAAAATAGGGAACAGCCAGCTAGTGTACCTAATTACGCCGCATGTGGTCAATGTCATTTTTTTTTTTATTATTATTATAATGTTCATTTTCGTTCGTTGTATATAGGTATGACCCATGGACAATAATAATAATGATAATAATAATATATACCGAAAAAACCAAAACGAAACCTACCGCACCGCCACCGCCAAGGTCACAATCGAAACCATTTCGACGGTATACGAGTTATTTGCAAGAGCGGGACCGAGGCGCACTGCGAATCAAACACTGCCATTCTGAATCGCCGTCATAATAATAATAATACAATAATAATTATACCCATACTATTCGAAATGTATATAATAAAAACAGTAAAAACATCAGAGACGGCAAATAACGATTGTGAGACATTGGATACTCGCGTTAAACGCCACACTCAAGCGCGCGTCTTGCAGCAAGGTACACCACTGCAGGTTTTTATAGGATGAGGGAGGGGGGAGAAAACAATAAAGTAGGTGCCGGGCGTATGTAATATTATAATTTAAGTGCCACAGCGAAACTATCGTATTATATTTTTACCGACGTAATTTATTGCGGCAGCACGATGTTTGTTTTGTGTATATATAGGTAACCGATACGTGACTGCAGAGTATAGTGACATTTAGCGCAAATAAATGAATAGCGTGTCGTATAATGTACAAAATAATTATGGAAGAAAAAAAAACAATCAGATCACCCGACGAACCGGCTAGACAAAATTTACTCTCGGAGAAAATTCTATAGACGCTTTAAAATCAGAGCACGATTTCAGGTAGAAAAGTGATTTACAGACAGAAAAATAAACAGATCAGAAAACACGCATCACATATAGCAAAACCGCCATAGTTTAAAATGTTATACCGCTATACAAAAGTTTACCTCAAACGTAAACTGTGAAATTCAACAAGTATAGACGATACAATATATATTGATCAGATTGTTTGACGCACGTAATATGGAAACCGAAAGGGGGAATGATAATGTTACCAAAAGTTGATCGAGTACAAACTTAACGGTAGGGAAACATTAAAATTCGGTGACCTATAAATGATTTTAAAAAGTCGAGTTTAATTATATGTTGTAATAAGTAACGATAAATAAACAAAAAAGGTTTTTAAAATCGAGCTTTTATTTGAAAAATAATATTGCATGTACCTACCTACCTACCTACGAAAAAAAAAAGCGTGGATCGTAAACGTCATTAAATGGACTTATTACATATAAATCGATTGTTTTCCGATGCATGCAATCAAAGATGATGAATTTAAAGAAAATACAGTGAATATTTTACACCTACGCAAATTTTTTTTTTTTGTACGTTTAATATCATTCTTCTAATAAAAAAACTCGTGTTTAAAACTGTTTATAATTTTTTAGTTTTAACTACATTACCCCAAATTCTATTATTATACCTGCAGGTTATACTCCCTACCTACAACAGTGGCCTAATTAACCAAGGTACGTCCACCTTTTACGATTTTTTTTATGTATGAAATAAAACATAATGTGTTGTCATCCGCGATTTACAATTGTCCCGCGAGTCTCATCGGGAAGTATAACAATTAAATGTCCAAAGAATCTACATTAACAAATAAACAAGTGAGATTGAATAAAAACTTTTGATAACAATATAATGGAAATTATAATTTTTTTAATTGAAAATAGCAATGCGTTGTAAATATCTGCAGCCGATATTATTACACATATGGGTTTTCGACTTTCTAAACACTACCTGTCAAATAATGACAAAGATAATATAAATATCTATATATTACGCACAATTCGTAAATGATGAGTTTCGTTCAATTATACAGGTACCGGACCTAAAATACCGGGTGCACTATTGTAACGTATGATTTACCTATCGGCAGTAATGCAATTTACGCGATTTATTTTTGTTTTAAAACATAGTTGTAAATTTGTGATTCGTAAAGCAATAGATAGCCACATTGAAAGATTTATCATTTGAACTTAACTATATGAAGTAATCGATTAATAAATCCTTGATAATTATATAAATAAAATAGAATGAATAATGTTGTGGTGACGATAACTGCAAAGTTGATAAGTCAGTACGGCCAGTATAATGACGGCTGCAATTGAATATATTTCTACAAAGCGAAAAGGCTAATGCATTATTTTTGATAACTATTATTTTAGAATAGATAAAACAAAAACAAAAAAAATTACTCGAAATGCATTGACAAACTGGCGTAATAAATACAAATTTATTCACAGTATATCCGATAAGTTCTGTGATCACAACGAACAATTTTAAAACAGTTTTTTACATTTTTTTTTTTTATTTATTTATATTATTTAATCGAATTTTTTATTAATTTATAAAATATAACTAATAATAATGTATGCAAATTTATATTGATACACAATACATGAATATAATTAATAAGTATGTAATTTTTAACTTATAAGTTACTCGAAAAATAAATTCGATGAAATGGAACGGCGATAAAAGAAATTCATTGAAATGGTATAGCAGCAAAACGGGAGCTGACCGCTCAAACCTATAATTTTATAAAGCATATTTTTCCTTTTTTTATATATTATAGGTACATTTATTCCTATTGTTTCCTTTTGTAAATTACATACAAAATAATGATTTTTATTAATGGATTTTTAATGGATAAATTAATGGATTAATCTATCTATAGATAGACTATAGTAATTTTAGGATATAATATCTATAATGGCCAAAATAAACGTATTTAAACAATACTGATGTAGCGTAATTCAAAATTATTTTAAAATGTTATTTTAAATTCAAGTAGCTGAATTTTATATTTCTATACTTTTTTTTTTTGGCAATTTTTTTTTTATGAAACAAGCAACTTTAAAGTGTTACCATTTACATTACCATTTTTTTTTTTTTTTTTGTCACTCTTTTTTTGGAAGTAGAATCACATCCCTCTTTTAATTTTCATATAGCAAACTATATTAAAAACTTCATAAATAGATAATGTTTTAGTTAAATACATTTTAGTGTTGACATTTTTAATTTCCGTCAACCCTTTGACGAAATATTCCACTTTTAAATTTACATTGAGTTTGAATAATGCTCCACCAACCCAAACTTAAAATTAGATTATCTCGTCAACGGGTTGATGGAAATGTATTTATTTGTTTTTATTATTGCTGCAACGTTTTTATATGGGAAATTTAACGTGGATTCCTTTTCCAATACTAAAGGAATACATTTAAATTTCTCCAAGCGTACCTTGCCCATTTTAACTTCGGAACCTCTAACTTCTGAACGATATTCGGTTTCTGAAGCAATGATTCTAGTACCTCATTCTTTCTTATTCCCTTCACACATCTTTTACAGCACCGAAAATTCCCCTTGGAATTTTTGAACACAAGAAGTTTATTTTAATATAGGCACCTACGTTGTAATAACAATGGTTGTGCGTTTAAACATTTAACTATTTTAACCGATTTTATTTTAAACGATAATTGATAGGTTGGTAGAAAAATATTTTAAACAATTATTGTATAATTTGTTCATGTTTTAAAACAGAACATTTACTGTACAATAACCTGCTCCTACAAAACGATAATAAATTATGTAAAATAATTTTGTTCGCTCTATACAGATAAAATATGTCAAAAAATATGAAATAAGTAAAAACGCGGTAAATATTACGTTAAATAATACCTAATAAAGGATAATGATACGCCATAATTAACGCTACTATTAAAATACGAACCATACTACACTACATGTAATATGTACATGACACTGGAGATAAAAAGGACCTTATATTATAGGTTCATTTTAATATCCCTACGTTACATATTATAGAGAAATTACGCGTAAGATTATAACACAAACAATGATTATGCGTTTGTTTTAAAAATTAAATTTTATTTTAACAATTATTAATTTATGTATAAATAACGTTTTGGCACCAAATAAAAGGGCAAAAGTCGTTGTTCTCAAGTGTTCAGGACAAACAAATACAAGTTTGAAAAATCCATTGAACCTTTTTTTATCAATCCATAAATCTGCAATCTTTGATCGGCCTTCTAGACCAATACATGATATTGGTAAAAAAAACTTCAGTCATTTTACATCTTTATAAATACTATTATCTAACAGAGACAACGGGACAACGGTCAAACGTCATATACTATCATGTTTATAATAATAATAATTTAATTTCTCTGTATTGACAGGAAAATATTACTTTTTTTCAGTAAAAATAAATATACCCCCAAAATTGTACTTAAGCCCATTTTCTCTGGCGCCAAAATATTATTCAGTTGGGACAAAGCTCAATTGCTTATGGTACACGATTTTTTTTTGTAAGAAGTTTATTACAAGTAATTCATTATTATATACGTATACGATATATAACATAGTAGTTAGTACACAATATGATTTGTCGTAAACACAAATATTATACTATGATGTTTGTTTAAAAAAATAATAATAATAAATATATTTTAAACGCGATTAACATTTTTCCCATATAAAATACGTAGTTTATTGTATATAAGGGAAACAACCTTCGATAGTGTTTTCTTAACTATTCAAGGGAACTAGTATTCTATAGTATTAAAAATTCTTGTCTCATCTATAATGTACATGCATACTTATACAAGGTGATCCATTTATCACGAACTAGCAATTTTCCAGGGAAGATCTTAAAAGAATTTGATTTCTGTTGTTTTTTTTTTTCAATTTTTAATGTCAGTCAATTACTCGACTAAACAATTTTTTTTTTTGTATTGTATTTGTAAACTCCAATAATCGACTTTTTTGACTCGACTCAACCCATTTTTCAAAAAAGCAAAACTCACATATACTGTATCAATTACTATGTACTTTTTTAAGTTTTATTTTAACACTATTTTCAATTTTTACACTATTCCTTGTACCCGAAATGTGTACAATTATACCCTGAATAGTACAATAATATACGATATTATATTAAAGTACTTATTTTCAAGAATATAATGTATTATACACATCAATATTTTTTTTTTTAAATCCGTTAAAAACAGAAAAACTTAATATAGTACTAGCTACCAAGAGCTATATGATAAGTTCACATGAAAAAACCGTAGCAGATCTAATTTCGATATTTTTCACGAGCAATCGATGTATACGAATAAACCAGCAACTATTATAAAAAATATTATACGATCGTTAGCCGAACATAATCACGAGGTTGTGTAGGAGAAACTCAATAGGACTCAGTCCCCATCAGATACGTACCTATATTTCTAACTCAGCTGTAAAAAAAAAAAATCAGAGAAGACGGGGGCTTCTAAATGTAATATTCTTCTAATTTGTAACGCTCAAATAATATTATTGATCTTCAAAACGTATTACAAAATTTAATACCGAATAAGTATTCATCGGATCAATTGGATTAACTTTTTCCGCCCCATTTTATACCACTTTAAACTCTGCTTAACCGTATAAACAATCGTATGCTAAGTATAACGACACACGGTATAACTAAAACGACGTTTCTTTTATTATTTGTTTAAACAAATTGTTTTAGAGGTTAATGCTCGTGAAATAATAACACAGCAATATAACAAATATACATTAAATATTTGTATACATAGATATATTCGTATAAAATAAATAATATTAAAAAATGTGTATGTAAGTTCCTTCAAAAGAAAACAATCCTCGACCAATTTAAAAACGTACAGCGCGGAATATTATATAATTCGATTTCAAAAATCACTATCGGATAATCCCGCAAGAAACTACTACTTAATTAAATAATAATATTAAAACGGCATCACGTTTCATTTTAAACAATCGCTTTTTTATTAAACTGATTATTTAACTTTCTGTATAACTATATAATATATTCATATATACCATTCAAATTCCCATATTTTTTGCTATGCTTAGGTATCTGTGTACTCTAGGTTACACGCTTATTTTTTTTAATTATTTTATTCTTATTTATTTTATACAGACAAACATGCTGATACAATAACAATAATAATATTTACTCCTGGCTACGTTTTAAACTGAACGACACGAAAAATGTATTGGTTTTACTAAATGTTGTGTTAGATTTATTATTTTGTGTCAGTAAACAATTTTTATACCATAAATCTTGCTCTAATCAAAAACTTTATAGGAACTTCCTTGTAACATTTTTATTCTATTTGGTGTATTAGAAAGGTTTGATTTGCCTTGTAGACTTCTTAATAGATGGGAAAAACTAATGCTTCGTATAATTGTTATTCATTTCCCTCGATAACAAGAGAAAAATACGACTAATAATAATACTCTCTCATAAATTGCTTTATGAAAACAATGGTTTATCGTTACTTATAGATAAATTTAATTTAATTATTCTACACAATATGCTCCCTCTTTTTTTCTTAAATGTTAATTTTGTATAACTACCGATATAATTAATATTTATTCACTACATATTATCATTATTGTCGAATTTTCCCCGAAAATAGAGACTATATTGCACTGAATTGTGTTTGTTATAATATAATAATTATATAAATATATACCTTTTTCCGCAACTTATAGACATTTTTAGCTGCTCCCTTTGGACCGAATGTGTTCAAACTCAGGGATTAGAGTTGTTTTGGAGATAGATTGAAGAGATAAAATTTTGAATTGTATTTCAATATGAATTAAACCAGTAATGTCCATTGCGTGGCAAAAGAATGTTTTTTAGCTTTTTCCGCCCCCGCAGACTCCTTAAATAAAGCTGAGGGATGACATTTTGTACATGCATGGCGTCGGTATCAAGGATGATGTGACTTTCAACTTTCAGAGTTTCAACTTTCAAACCCTCCCCCCCCCGCATTTATTCCTCTTGCAATTTTTATGATCGTATTTCACTATTTTTGTTTTACTTTCTGTAAGCAGTATCATTTTAGTATATGATATAATACTGTTTTATTATAGAACCTATTCAGTTATTTATCGTTTTATTCAGAATATTTATATTATACAAAATAGATGTGGAAAGGGGTATTCTAGTCACGGAGGTCTTGATCGTTTTGAATTTATTATATTATTGCACGTGTAAACAGTCAGAAAACGAAATCTTTCACCGATTGTACTCGGGTAGTACCCTACACCCATACGAAAATGTCATTATAAATTGTTTTTTTTTTTTTTTTAATTTTTGTCCATGTCCAAAACACGCGTTGGCGTTGATTCGGCCGGGAGTATATACGATGTGTGTATTAGTTGTTAGCACCCACATAATAACGCGAACGACGAACCTCGTCCCGGGCTCGTTCACCTGTGCACAATGCGCAAAATCGTTTTCGAAAAACAATAGGATCGGCAAAAATAATATTATAATATAATCGAGCAAAGAGATCGATTATTGTTATTAATAACTGTCATTATATGCGCATACGTGTAGCATACAGAGTGATGCTCTTGTTAACACACGAACCAACGATTAAAATATCTATTGCAGTATGTATATAAAGATTTTGATTCCCTTTTTTTTTTTTTGTAAATTGCATAATGCCCGCGCAAACGTACAGGTTATCTTTCCCTACTAGTTCAGACAAAATTTTAAACAGCTACAACACCGATACTGCGTATACATTTTTTTGGAAAAGTACTTATAGATAATATTCTCTTTTCGAATCGAGAGTTCATAAAATATATACATTGTTATTACCGAAATCAATAGCCAGAAATCACAGACTCCACAATGTAGATTTCTAAACTAGTTGCCTTCATAAATGAAATACCGTGTTTTCCTTCGCTGTCAATTATCTGTAGAAAAATTCACTCTGGAATAAAATCATGCCAATTTCTCTCCAGACATTAAATAATCAAATTACAATGCGCGTCACGATTCGGACGTCGTTTTTGTTGCATTCATATAATTAATACTAATTAGTACATCGTAAATACGTCGGTACCTTTAATAATTATAATCAATAAATTAGTTTAACTAATTAATCCACAATCTTGATTTCAAAATAATATTTTTAGAAAGATCAAAGAATACGAAATTAATACTAGTAGTACGTATGGTATATACTTGTCATTATTAGGAGTGAGACAATTCTTGTTTTGGTATTGCAGTAAAATGTTTGAAAATAATATAAATAAGAGAGCATTATGATATATTATTGTAAGCTTATAAGAACAAAATACCCCATAAGCCATACAATTTCCAAAAAAATCCTAATTAATGCACTACAAAATGAACAAATAGCTTTAAAATCTAAAATTATAAAAAAAAGTCAAAATGAAATGAATAATTCTCGATCAAAATTGCACAAAACGAGTTGAGTAAAAAAAACAAGCAAATCTCGAAAGCGCGGGTAAAAATTTAAAATTTGAATTTAAAATCAAAAAAATTCAAAAAATGATCCCAAAACCCTAAAATCCTCGAAAAATAAAAAATGAAATGTCTTATAGTTATACAATCATTCGAAAACTTGCAAGACGGATTTGTACTAACAAAACAAGCGTCGCACGTCGAGCTTTAGTGAACAACGCAAAATGCATCATATAAACTAAACACATAGGCGCAACAATAACCACCAGTTCTGGAGGTGCTAAAATTACAGACACATCAAAGACCTATGGAAGCTATGACTCACCGGAATCTTCTTTGCATGACCCTTACAATAGTTCACTACAGCTTTCATTTATAATTTTGTATACACAAATCCATCATGATTATTTTCATACACACATGCATTGTCTGTGTAAACTTATATTTTGTTCTGTTCATTAATTACGAAATACGAGTACACGGATAAAATATTTTGTCATTACTATGAAAAACATGATTGGGTTTTTTGGGAATGCTTATTTTAAACTCTGGAGTGCTCCGCTAGCAACCTCCCCTCCCACCTATTTGCGTCTATGAACCTAAACAATGATCGAAAAAAAAAAAACCCCGAAATCAAAATTTCGCTCAAAATATTCGCGATATTATTACCTATAAGATATTGTTTATTAGCTTTGCCATACAATGCAATCGCCCTGTATATTACGACGTTGCGGATGTAACGCGCACCATCTCGTATATTATAGGCGGTGTACGATGGGTCGTATTATAATCGCGCCTATAATATATCGTGTTATATTGTTGTGCTCGTGCATCGCACGCGTCTATATATTAATAATAATAAATATTATTAAAACCGTTTGCGGAACGATGTTCGTGTCAGAAAAAAAAAAACACGAAAGTACATAATACGGGAGATTTTTTATTTTTAAATTATTATTCCGACGGCGACGCGTAAAGGCGTATCGGCACAACGATCGGCTATCCGTTGCGCGCAGTACGGATATTATTTTTACGATCTACGCGGCTGCGGCTGCGGCTACGGCCCGGCTTAAATTTCGCCCTGCCAGCGACACAATAATAACAACGGTTGGTAATAAAATAATGTCGCGTTATTCGCCATTGTGTTAGATCGTTATAATAATATAGTCGAGAGCCGTTGCGCGCGGGTGATTCTTTTTTTTTTTCCTTCTAAATTGAACGTTTCCTCCGCGAATAAATTTCAATCGGCGCCGGATCCGCGACTGCCGTTTATACAGACCGGGCGAGAAAAACGCGACCCGCCGCCGCCGCCGCACGTACGTGCGTCGCGTCGTCGTAGCGACCGCGCACGACGTCCGCGAACGGTTTTATTCACTGTCCCGCGTGCGTTCTTCGATAACCTCGACTATCAACCAGATGAAACACCCGATTGCGCGTCCGACTGAAAATCAAGGAACACACTATCACGTGATTTAAAATATCAAAATAATTATTTGATAACGCAATAATTACAATATTCGATACGAGTGATTTTTCGTGTAACGACATGCTAAATTTATATTACAATTTAATATTGTTACGCACGAAGAACAATAATGACAAAAACAAATTTCGGTTTGTTCACCTAATTGATAATCTAGGTGGTTGGGGAACACACGGTATATCGAATCATTAGAAATCAAGAAGTTTGCAAACAAACATGGAAATAGATTAGTGCTGCACACTAATGAAACTGCTAAACAACTAACTGACGATTCACAAGACATTAGGTGCTTCAAATGCTTGGAACCGTACGACTAGTTTAATATGACTTAGACTAAAGACTGGGGCTACGTCATTACTAACTCTTGGTACAACTCCAAATATGTTTATGTATACATATAATATATTTATTACTCGTGTATTATAAAATAATTAAACACCCATCATACATTGTATTTATATAGACTATGAGTCGTTTAAATAAAAAAGTCTAGGGCAGTTAACAGAAAAAAAACTAACCAGCGATGCACGGGCGACCCCTTATAAAATTTTGCGACCGCCAAAGTTAGGTTAGGTTAGGTTGACTATAGGTGACTAGTAGTTAATTTTCATTTTTTCACAATGATAAGCGTTCAATCGCTTATCTGAAATAATAGCGAATCACATAAAATACAATTTTTTCTTCGGGCAGAATATTGTATAAATTTGTAATATATTTTAGAATTTAATGACATTTTCATAATCTATCATGACCAATGCGTCTAGGAATACTTAAGCAGTAATATTATATTTTAAGTGATTTGAATTTTATGCTTCAAAATTATACGACTTATTTAAAAGTTTTTAATATTCTCATTCAAAGCAAATAAAGGGGGGGGACAAACATATCATTTTGCCCCCTCTATAAAATATAGATAAAACTTCATAAAAAACCAAATATTAAACCAGTGCTGTAGTCATAAAAAAAAGCAGAGAATATACTGTAATATATTAACATACAATCTAAAATACATTGTCATCTCATGGTCCGGATATGTATATTTTTTTTTCTGTGTTTTCATAATCAATCAAAAATGAAAATAATAATACCTATGTATAATTGTATAATATATTGTGTGATTTCACTATAACAGAGAGTATACGACCGTAACCAAGGGTAATTGTGTTTATAGGTAATAACCAATAAAGCGTACACCGCCGTATACCCTCCACTACTGTAGAGGAGGGCTATAATACAATTTTCAATAATATTGTTTATTCCTCGTGAATAAAATCATTTAATATTTAAATTTCAAATAAATACTATTTCATAACATAATGTTATGATTTTAAAAAATCCGTAGTAATTGATATAATTCTGTGGCATGACTACTCACTACATAAATTACAACGTAATTTGATACGTAATAATCTATAGCAACATTATAGAAATGTAATTACATATTGTTTTTACTTTTAAGTTATGTTTGTATACCCAAAGATGTGCTTAAATCAGAGCTTAAAATGAACGACAACGCAATTCCGACTTACATTTTTACAAAGAAGAAAGTTTATTATTTTTGTCCACAAATCATATAAACATATTATATAAGTATTTTTAAACAAAACTATTAGTTATGGTTTAGTATATTCTTCAATTCGAGTTCTGGTAGAAGAGTAAAACAAAAATAACTAAGATAGGAAGGTGAGCTCCTCCTCTGCATGCATATCATGGGTGAAAGACGGGTTTCAAGAAATATAGAAGGTGAACAAGGATAGTTACACCTTTTATATTTTTGCTCCTCTTTATCATACAAAAAATAGTTTTTCAATGCGCCTCTGTACATTAAAATGTTCGAAAGCTCGTCTGTCCGAAATATAAACGTTCAAAATACTAAAATAACACGAGCAAAATCCACAAGTTAGTTTTCAAACAACCAGGAATTTACAAATTTATAAGACAGTTTTAAAAATTCAGAATGAAAGTGACAATTCTGTAGAGCAAACCATTCGAAGCCAAACAAATAAAAATCATAACTACAGTCAGGATAATTAAGTTTATAAAAGTAAAATCATATAATTTAGGATTTTAGATGTAATTATTTTTTTTATATTGTCTATTAGCATTCAAATAATATATATTATACATTTTTTATACCGTCTACGATTTTTCAAATTTTTATTTTAACTACATTTTTAATTAAAATATTATGTTATTACATTTATTTTTAATAATTTAAATATTTAATTTTTAAAAATCCAATTTTTTATGACTGAATTTCAAAAAAACAGCCCCTGCCGTTACTTAGTCGCCCTACATTAGACACAAGTTTATGTCACCTATACGTTATTCCAGGCCTGCATACCTAAAATTATTATAATATATCGTTATCGTACATGATATGCAAAAATTAAACGCCATTAATCCCAGTTTACGTGCAGTTTAAAAAACTTCAACCCAGCAGCTAATTATGTACGCGAAAAACTATATAATATTATACTGTCGGTTGACACGCAAATATAAATACACAAACCGGGGTGTTGCCACCGACGCCGATATACTAATAATATTATACATGTACATAAAATTCACTAAAAAAAAAATAAAAAAAACACCTACCGGGAAGCATCATGGATAGGCCACCTGCACTATTGTACGTGAATTTACAATTACTGTATTTTTCGATTTTGTAAGCACACGAATGGATTTCTGAGCGGAGCTCGTTTAACTGTACGGTTACCGGTTTAAAATAATATTATAAACAGATTAATCACAGAGGGGTTTTTCTCCTCTCGTAGGCGCGTAACCGAGGAAACCCTGCCGGGCATACTTCACACTGCCGTGATGGGTATAAACCCATTATTGTAGTTGCGAAATTTGAAAGGTTTAACACAAGATATACCTATACCCACGCATAGGATAATAAATACTGAAATCAATGATAAACCATTGAGGTTAAAAAAAAAACGATTCTGAATGGAGGATTTACCTTGATGACGGAATGATCTATATACACTTGAAAATTTCTGCAGGTAGAAAAGTTGTTAACAGACAGAAAACAAAAAAAAACCTATCCTAAGATAATGGGAACGGATACAACCACTGTTATAGGTGAGAATACACTAGTTATATACGCGACGATTAACCATTGCTAACGAAAAACGATACAGAGCTAAGTTCGGTTAATAGTATTACGTTTACCCCATTTATTGGGAAAACTCCTGGGAAAATCAAAAAATGACCACCCCAAAGTACCACTCCAGTCAGATTTCCTTTCAATTGCTATCATTGTAAATAGGAGCAAAATTGTTGGTAGAAAAGTAATCCGCAGATAAAATAAAAAAAATGTATAAAAATCATAGTAAAACCAATACATTCCTCGCTCCATACAGAAACTAAAAAACAAATATTTTCAACACCGCGTTACACATTAATGTTTCGCTCCACTCGGGATCTGCGGTAAAATTGAAACTTGAGATGCTCCTCGAATATAGACGCGATCTCAAGATTTATGTTAGAGGTTAGGTTACGACAATAACGACGTTATAACGATATTATAGCAACTAAATGCGATATCGCACGCGTATTAACATTATACTACACGCGTTAAACACGATGTGTGTTCACCGTTTCGCCATTGCTCCGCCGAATATGTGTATACAATAATAATATACGGCGGTCGTGGATTATTCATGGTTGTCATGACGGCTGTAAAATAATGTATTACTTATTCAGATCGCAGCATCACCGTGTTCGCGCGTTTTTACGCGCAAAACAAATTTCAAATCAATAATCTGAAAATAATTGAACGTCACAATCGCATATATGTATTATGTTAATAATAATAATAATAATATTGTGTCTGTTGTTTATTTTCTTCTTTTTCGGATCGCATTGACAGATAAATCCTGTATAATATTCATCGGTGCGAATAAAAATATATCAACACGATACATCGTGTCGCTGCTCGATAATAATAAATAGGTACCTATTTACCACATTATACAAACTAGATTATACGATAATGATATACTGCAGAGTGAACACTAAATAGAAACGGAACGCTTCCGTTCCCAGCACATACGCCTATAGATCTCATCGCAAACTACTTTATAATTTTACTTCTCGTCGACCGACATGTTTTTGAAAATCCCCCCCTTAAAAATTCCTCGATTCGTGGAATTTCCATAAATATTTAAGTTAATTTATCTGCGTTTAACATATTAAAAGTTGGTAGAAGTTTCGCCTACACTAAATCTGCCTAATAAGGATTGGTACTTAATGTCAAATTTGAGACGTGCGCGTAGTAGGTGTCTTAAAATTCCCAAGTACAAAATGACAATACATGATAACTCTTTCAGAGATTATAATAGGTATGGGTTTTCTTCTTAAAAATTCATCCTAAGATAATGTAGACGAGTGCATACTGTTATAGGTAATTTAATTTAGGTAATCTATAAGCAACGATAAACCATTGCTAACGAAAAAACGATTCTAAACGCAGTTCAGTTGATAGTAATACTTTGTCAACAATATACATGGCTTATTATGATTAAATAATTAAAAAGTCATTATATATTTTCTTTAATATATATTTGTTTAATAGTGTTCCGATTTTTCCCGTTTTTCACATGTTTCTTCACGGTTTTTCACAATTACTGAAAAACTCTTGGAAAAATTGGAAAATGGCTGCCTTAACGTACCTTTCCAGTCAGATTTCCTTTCAGAAAAAGTGCTATAATTTTAAATCGGAGCAAAATTGCTGGTAGAAAAGTGATACACAAAAAAGGACCATAATTTTTTTTTACTAATACCTACATTTCGTACATTTTCCGTTTTTTCGGCATTTCATCCGGGTTTTTCCCAGATATTATGAAAACCGCTTGAAAAATCAAAAAATGACCTCCCTAAATTACCATGGAAATAAAATTTCCTTTCAGAAAATAAGCTACACTTGATACATCAGAGCAAGATTTCTGATAGAAAAGTTTGCACGACAAATCAAGGGGTATTTTACGATTAAAATAATCCCAGGGACCGATGGCTTGGTAAATCCAAAATGTACTTCTCTTTCCTTATTTAAGTAATAAGAAAAAAAAATGCAAAACATTTTGTTCGAACTCGGGACCTATAGGATAATAAAAATAAACGTTTTTTCCCACTTTATCAACTTTATTGGGAAAACTGCCACCTCAAGAAAATTTCCTTTCAGAAAAGTGTGTACATTGGAGCAAGATTTCTGGTAAAATTGTTGTACACAATATAAAAAAATAAAAATAAAATAAACATCTTTGTAAAACCAATACATTCTTCGCTATATTCAGAATCTAAAAATCATACTCAGTATGATGTAGAAGATATGCAATGTACAAGACAGAAGTATACCTATAGGTTACTATTTTATATTTTATAGTTATTATAGTGTTATTTGTTAGGTGTAATATTTCACAGTTTAAATATTTTTGACAGGTCCCCGTTCTTCATTTTCATTTGAAACGACACATTAACCGCTTGCAGTTAATCAAAAATTATTTTAATTATTAAACCATATACATTGTGTTTACATAAAATACACAAGACAATAATTATTAAAGGAGAATAAAATCAAGTTACAAAAGTAAATAGTTAATAGTATAATTAAAAATATAATTTTTTTTTTTTTTTAATAAATAGACAGACTAATTCATTGTCTCGTGGTACTTAGACTGTACACCCTTTATATAACTCGTGCGTAATATAAATGATTGTTTTCTGCTTAACGACTTAATTAAACGCACTTTTGAAATTATATCCAGAGCCACGAACACAAATGGAGCTCGATTAAGTTCAAAAACATTTGTCATACATTCTGTATTTGGACAATTTACGTAGCATCTAACTAATTTCTCGGAACTAATGATTATTCTGTGTGTTCGTATTAATTAAAAAGATATGGATTATTATCATTATTATATTGTACATATGGAAAATGGAAAATTATAATATTATATTACTGTTGAAATATAAATCTAACCTGAGAAAGCTACAAACAGCAAATAATATTAGATACCCACCTACATTCAAATTACTAACTTAATGAAATATAAAATAGAAACTACTTAAATGTTTGTAATTAAAGGAAATTAATTACCAACTGATGTATTTTTACACTTATAATTTTCATTTTGCAGCAATTAAACTAAATTAATATCATATTAAATTATTATTTTGGCGTTTATTAATATTTTAAATAATATTCAAAAATCAATTTTGTGTATGAACAAAATTTGTATTATTGTTGATTTAAAACTTAATATGTTTTATACAAATACCAATATGTATCATTTATTTTTTATCCAGACAAATTCATTAGAAATAATAAGTACTTATTTTTAAGTTTTATTTATGACCAAGTAATTTTCAATATTAAACAAGTTAAAAATCAATACTTGGCATTCAAACAAAGTACTACCAACCAAACAAAAACTTATAGTTATTTTTAATGTTTTATATTAGGTATGTTATATATACACATTGCACATGTATAAAAAAAAATATTAATATTTCTTTGAAAACTAAATAAGTACCTACTTCAAAGTTAGTTAAAGAAAAACAAATAAGTATATAATAAAATGGCAAAAGACAAAATAGGCAATACTGAAGTATTTAATTTGAAAACTAATACACTTAACAATACAAATATAATTATTTATCACTAAATAATTATTGATATAAAATTTAGTTTTATCGCATTTTAGGTAATATTAACCAAATTCAAAAAATACCACTTAACATTACATTTCTATTTACAAATTTTATTTTAGTAAATGTACAAAGCAGTTCTAAATATCAGATAGTTTTGGTTAAATTTATAATGCTTCAAATAAAAATAAAAATTATCATTTTATTTATTAACTATTATCACAGGTATAAAATGGAATACCTAATTGATATTGTAATACAACAAATTATTTATGATAAATATAATAAAAATATAAATCTTAAGATAATGAAATGTTATTCAGATTGTGGTTCAGATTCAAATGAGATAATTAATTTGCAGATGAATAATTGTAGTGTAATAATACTAATAAATTATTTGGTTTTTAGACTAGGTACTAATAAAAGTCTGAAACATACAATATGTATGTAATCACATAATATAATAATAATATTCATAATTACATAATAGCTGGAAAATCATTTAAAAAAATATACACATGTTCATTAGTTTGAAATTTAAATATAAATTGTTATAGTTTTTTTATAATGAAGTTTTGTATTATCTCAGTTGTTACAAAAAGTTTATGTACCATATTAATCACTATATACATTATTCGTCATGTATGCGTCAAATAAATTGACTTTTGTTAACATTTTAATCGAGTACCTAAAATATTTTATAAAATAAAATTTAATTAGAGGTGGGTACCAAAATTTAAAAATAAGAAATAATGTATAACAATAATAGTTATTTTATGTGTATCTAATATGATCTACAATGTATAAAATATACATGTTTTATAAAAGATTTTAAATCAACCACTAAACAATTTTTGAAATATTTCTTCGTCATCTGATAACAATTTATTATTAAAATATTATATACAAATGATGTATTGAATGTAAGCAACTATACAATTTGATGATTAATAATCGATAAATCTTTTGGTTTCCAAATTTGTAATATTAAATATGCAAACGAACCATAATTTATTTGTAATAGCCAATAAGCTAATCATATTTTTACCAAAGATAATATTTTTTTATTTGAAAGCATTAAAAATAGTTTAAAAGCATGAAGTAAATAAATTAGTTTTAGATATACAATTTTTTTAAAATTTAACATCTAAAATGTAAAATTATTAAACTGCATTAACCAAAATAACAGTAAAATAATACTCGTGATGAGTTACCTAAACATCAAAATCATTTTTTTTTTCTTATATACAGAGTGTAACAGGGCTATTTGACATTTTTACATTGTAGTTATAGTTAGCTATAGTTATATGTAAAAATGTCAAATAGTCTAGTTACACTCTGTAGAAGAAATGCTGCAATAAAAATATTTTGAAACAACTATTTACATTCATATTTTAATTATCATGTTCAACAATCAAATTCATTTTTTTAGTAAAATGTATTTTTACTTTTTAATATAGTATTATTAAATATTAAATTAAACAAACAGTAAATCTCACTCCAATATAATGGAAGCGAAAATAGTTTTACTCGTTTTAACAATAATAAGAGATAACAATTTTAAACATTTATATGGGTTCCATATATAATGATATTATAAAAAAGTCCACATAAAAAATGTACAAATTCAATTCAAATTGTAAAATATTAATACTAAATATAACTATGAAAATGTAAATTTTGGAAGATAATATTACATAATATGTCGTTCTATACAGATTTATTCATTATGAGATGGCAACAACGTTTACTATTCAATCGTCATCTGCATTAATATGACAATCCAGTCAGATATGTTTTGTATTTAAAGAGCATATGAGGTAATACTATGTCACTAATAGGCACTGGATATTTTTTGAAATGGAGTAACTTACATAAATTAATTTTAGGTATATGACTATTAATATAGGTAACTAATATTACCTAACATATTAACATTATAGGATGCACAAGAAACTCATCAAATACTTTCACATAAAAAAGTTAAAATCCACTAAAACAAAAAAAGCTAGGTTTCTCATTAAATTTGTACTTTATTAAAGAAAATATAAAAGATTAATATAGGAGAATATATATTATGTTCAATACAAATATAAACAAAATTCTATCATACATTTTTTCAAAATTATTTCATTTATTTATTTATTTTAAATTACATTTAACTAGGTAGAAAGTTATACTGTTATATTTTATCAAAAGTTAAGATCAATTTGATGAAAAATAATTCGTTCAAACAAGATTTAAAATTACAAACAGGACTAATGGATTAATCTCTAAGTAGTACTTAAATATAATACCTGTATTATCTGTTTCATTACCGAGGAGGTCAATTTAACACAACTAAGGAAATATGTATTTTTTTCAAAAAATGTTGACTATTTATTTGTAAGCATCTTCTAAATTAATATACCAATAATATTAATAATAATTAAAACATCTTAAGCAATTTCAAATAAAAACAAATTAATAATTTTGTTTGGTTGATAAGTATATTTATATTGCATAATACTGAAGTATATTAAGCATAACACTTTATTGTGATAATATTATTCAACTTTGGTTTTAACTAACTTAATCAACAATAGAGGTTATCTGTAGATTTTTTAAAATTATAAAATAAGATGACAAATATAAATTATTCAAGACAAAATAATAATATACCTATTCTTTTCATAGTAATTCACCCTAGCCAAAACATGTGTTAAAATTTGGTAGGGTAATTGTATTAATTAAATGTGCTTACATTTTTAACACAATAAATTAGCACAAAGCAACAATGTCAATAGATTTATTATTGCAAAAAAATATATAACACTTTATTATACTAATTTGTATATAATATGTAGGTAGATACTCTAAATAAGTTTGTATTGAAGACTTTAAAACAATAAACTTGTTTTCTTAACACATTAAAATTGCCAAATTATTGTAACCTATTATTATCAGTGATATATTATTTATCAAAACTAAAAACATAAATAGTGATATGACTACATCAGAAAAGATTAAAAATAAGTTCAAAATATAATTACCTGGACGAAATATCGCTGAAATTTCCTCCGTCTAGTAGACGGACTTTAGCAAACAACACGGCATTAACAAATGGAACGGCTGTTAAATCTTCCAGACAAAGATTTACCGTGAACTTGTATCTTTTCTTCTTGACCATAAATGACATTTTCACACCTGTGCATAGGTACATAATTATGTGAATAAAATCAACAAATATACAAATACTTAATCCAATTTAAAAGTTATGAATTGTGACTTGTTATTCAAATTGAAAAATTAAATCATAGTGATAGTAGATAGTTAAATAAAAAGAAAAAACAATGAATACAATAATCAATTATATATTAACAAATGTGTAAACAGACCAATATATATACCAATATATTCAATACAAGGATACAAATAAGATAAACAAACAATATTGACTACCCATAATAAGTTTTTAAACAAATAGTGTACCTAGCTATAGAAGTGTTGGCAAATTTACTCGTCCAAAGGTTTAACGTTCATTTTCAGCAGGTTTCTTGAAGTCAGAAGATTAAAAATATAAACACGTAATTTACACTGCCACTTAAAAAGACACTTTAAATAAAATTTATAAAAAATTACTCTATAGAAGTACCTTATATTAATACGAGGACACTCTCAAGAGAAAAACGGTTGTTAAAAAAAATCTGATATAAATAAAATTCGACCGACCGGACTAGAACGTTTAACAACGACTTGCGACTAAAAGATGCACATATTTATAAAATATATACACACACACTTACAGGTATATAATATGTGCATATATATATTATTGTATTAAAAATCCCTACGGGAAAGTCGACATCGCCGTCAGGGCAAAACAATAACACTTGACAACAATATCTGACGGACGACAACGACTGATACATTACCGCCGCCGCCAATCAGCGGGTCATCTGTTTTCCGTGGCGCGCTTTATCGCCATCTATCCGCAATCGTTGCACAGTTGTATTATTATTATTATTATTTGTAATACTGATTTTGTGTTCATTACTTGTTTGCTACTAATTTTTCTTATAATTATAGACCGTAATGCAATGTAGATCGCAATAAAAATTACGTATATTAATCTTGGTTGATAGTTTTTTTTTATTTCACATTTTCACAGGCAATGGTTGTTCTGTAGTATAATAGTTGTGATAACAGCACTACAGAGAGTTGGCGGTTGCTAACCTAACCTTGATAAACAGTTTTTTTAACGACAACAACGATAATAATCAATAACAATAATAATTATAATGTTGTTATCTATGGTCATCGTTATCAATCAAATCTGGACGCGAAAACACCATTTTCGGGTTCAAGGGCCACAGAAAATTATACATATTTGCCTCTCCACAATTCGTACTACCGACTTGGATGACATGCCGGTAAGTTGCAGCTGTGGAAGTTATTATTTATTCTCAGTATTTCATGATGACGGTACCCACACGCCTCATGAGACCAGTCAAACGACGTTAATCTTTAATATCTGCTTGGACAGTGTTTGCAGCTTTATTATAAATTCCGTGTGAACGTTTTTGTTTCGCGTAGACCTTCGAGATCTACCAATTAATCCGACGAGCATAGGCGTCATTACGGGGTAGCGAGGGGTAGCAAATGCTATACCTCACCATCTTTATCGGCGTTGCAGCTTAATAACTACGCTACCCTAAGAGTAATTAAAAAAAAAAAAAATTATAATTGTCTTGTTTTTTTTCATAATATAATCACACGAATGTAATAATTATATTACTTATTGGCCATATTGAATTTAAACTTACATAAAGATCAGTCAACTAATTACTTACATTTCTAAATTTATTTGTTATTTTTTTACCTAATTCTAATGAACCTAAGACCTGATTGATGATACACCGACTAATGAAGTGAGGGGACACTTAATTAGACCACAACTGATATAAAAATATTCATGATGCTTGCTACCCCATAATTTTACGAATGACGCCTAAGCCGACAAACCTATTAAAACTCAAAAAGCACGATGGAAATAGTCAGCGTCATAAACTTGATAAGATTCTTCACAAATCCCCTTTGGGAAGGGAAGAGTTTGGTCCCTGTAGACATTTTTCTATTTAGAAAGGGTACATTTGTTCATCATAATATATTGCAAAAACCTTGACGTGTGAAAAAGGGAAAAGGGTCTCAATCAATAACCTAGGTGTTTTTAAATTATATTTAGCCTCTATATGCACACGTGATAATAATATGTGAAACGAGTTAAACATTTTCCAAGAGCTGCAGTGTACCTACACCTACCTACATAATACAAATGTTATTATTTTGTATTATTATTATTATGTTAATCTTATGTTCCCGACTATATTATACTATTTTGCGTACGCACGCGAATCCGGTGGGTGTGCATAATATTAGTATACCTATTATCACGCTGACTTTAATTCCTACAGAAAAAGCTTTTAAAATGTCAATTATTACAATTTTCTAACGTCAACACGTATTGCCGTTCGGCCTTTGAAGTGTTCTATTAGAAAAAAAAATGATCGGTATTATTCATAGGTGATGGGCAAAATACATCACTTTATAAATTTAAAATACAAAATACATAAAATTTGGATATTAAAAATACAAAATACGTTGAATTTAAGAAAAAAATTCAAAATGCTTTTAATTTTAAGTTATTTAAGCAATTTTTGTTTCTAAAAATATTATATTATTATTCTGATTTAATAATATAAAAATTAAATCATTTTAGAAATTGATAAACTATTCAAAGTAAAATTTAAAAAAATCATTAAAAACATCATTTTTATTAGTAGGTAACATTTTTACAGTCTGAATAATATTAAATGTTATAATATATTTAATTGTATTCAATTAAATACCATATATCTATAAATTCAATAATTGTAATTTTAAATTACTTTTTCTGAATTATTTATAGTACCTATTTAAAAGATGATTAAGCTCTTCTTTAATTTGTTTAATATCATACAAACCATTCCAACGAGTTGGACCAGGATAAATTAAACCATGATTTAGTATAATGTTTAAAATGTCATGTTTTTGGACGTCGAGAGGCATTCCTAATTCCATATAATTTGACATTTATAACTATAATGGAATTGTGAGGATTGTTTAAATTTAATGATATAATAGCTCTTGATAAATCAGTTGTACCTATTAAATTCAAATAAAATAAAACGGGATTTTTACTTTTTTCACAGAAACTTAAGCGTCTTGAACGCTCGAGAAATCCCTAGACGATCACTCTGTCGAGAACCTTGTGCAATATGGAACGCATAATATAGTCACTACCAACTTTTCTTTTGTAGAATTTCTCTTAAATAGCTAGCTCCGACTTATAGCAGCTAAAACACGTCTTATATTCAATTAATTTATATAATTATTATTTATTTTATTGAATTCAACCTTTTGTTAATCGTAATTCAAAGATTAGTTCTGTTTTAGATCTGATTTGACAAATTAAAATTAAAAATTATATATAATTAAGCTACTAAAAGTTAAAAGTAATAATAAAAAAAAATACAAAAATACAAATAAAAAAAACTGATTTCGGGGAAGGGTGTGGCTACTGTTGTAGGTGGGTAGTAGAGAAGATGGGATACATAAAGTTATACCTATAGTTTATACTTGTCACCAACGATAAACCATTGATAACGAAAAACAATATTTAGAGCGAAGTTCGGTTATACATGATTTTAAAGAACGTAATATTTACGATTTTCGTCAAAACTTGATTTTAAAAGTTATTAAAAAAAAAAACACTATATTGCATTCAATTTTATTTTTTAAAAAAAAATTATTTTATGTTTTCTCTGTTACCTAACCGATGTAGTTTTGCAAAAAAATTTTTACGAAATACGGGTTTAAACTTACAACTCCTAAGCATTGACATATAGGGGTGCCAGGGGTGCTTAGCACTCTCACATTTTTTTCGGTTTTACTGAATTATTAAAAAAAAACTAAAAAGAAAATCAATAAAACTATTTTCTTGTTGACCAACTAGATTAAAAATTCAACCAAAAAAATCTCTTGATATTTTTTATTGGAACAATATTTTCGGTAGAAAACATAAGCCGTACAAATGTATAACAATAAAATCGTTGTGCTGCAATTTGAAAAAAAAAATCATATATTTTGCCTTTTTTGGTTTTCCTAATTATTATGAAAAATATTTTAGATATCAAAAAACGACTTTCTCTGTCGGTGGCTATGTGTTAAAATGAATAAAATTGTCTCTTACCATTTTTCGATTGAAGTATCAAAATCTAATAATATTAAACTAAGTTTTCTTTTTATACATTTGTATTGAAATTATTTTATGTGCCTATGTTATTTTGTGCAAAATTCAAATTAAAACGCTGAAATCAAACTTACTAAACAATTTTAGTAGATATGTATTTTATTGGATAGACTGAATAAATTTAAATCTCCTGGCCTGAATTTAGTTCTCACTCTGTCTATGCATTTTGCATACATCGTAGTTACATGGGCCGTATGGGTATTTTGATGACCATTGATGACAGATTTTCTGATTCGTCATAACTCATTAATAATATGGTTATTATAGTTATTGAATAAAAAAAATATTAGGTGTTATGCAACATCTTCAAAATTGCAACGTCGAATTACCATATTTATCCATAATCAAAAAAATGTCCTATTAAAATAATAATTATTATCCTCTATGAAATAATAAAATAAAATAATTCAACTGAAATATAAAGTTACTATCTTGAAATATGGACTAATATGCATAATACATATAAAAAGTTCACCATCGGGCACCACGCACTTTTATTATTATTTATGTTTACAACAATTATTTATAATTTACATTTTATATCATTAGGTACATCAATATACAATGATATTACATGTTTTGTAAGCTTTTAGGAGATAAATATAAAATTGCCAAGTGTTTCAGTATACGAAATAACGAGATAATTGATATAACCTAATTTATCAAATAATAAAAATTGACGTTTTTATTTAATTTTAAAAAATATATAAATCCTTAGAGAAAAATAATAGCTTTGGGAATTTTTGTTTATATTTTTTAAAATTAATATTGCGTTTGCGGTTTTCGTATGTACAACGACGTCAACCGTAACATATTGCAGCAGGACTATACAGTTGTCATTTTAATTAAAAATATTAGTCTCGAAGTGTTTATTAATTACACTAATAATTGTCGTTTATTCTTTTTAATTACTATGTAATCAATATAATCAACTGCGTGTAGAGAAAATAAAAACAACAATTTTTCTAAATGAGAAAATTCGTTTGCTACTCATAATATTAATCCATCTGTTGTAAAGAACATGTTTATTTAAATCTGAAAAGTTGATAATAATTTATAAGTGCAGTTAATTTTTTACAGCAGGTTTAAAACATTTTCTCATTATTATATCTCATTGATTGAGACCCTTTATGATTTGATTGGTATACCGATTTTCTCAGTTCAGTATAGGCTCCCAATAATTTTAATTTTTAGATTTCAGACTCTATCAACCGGTTCCCATAAAATCATAAATATAATCATTACCCATAGGCAAGTACATAGTTATTCGAGATGACCCTATAAGTACGGCTATTACATAAATCTATTAAAATTAACCTTTTCAATAACTCTATATAACAATCTTATTTTATAAACAGGTATGTATATTATGTAAATATATCGGTTCAAATTTCTAAATTGTTCGGGTTAGTTCTAATTTTATTTTATGTGTTTTTTTCTCCAAACAACCCCTCAGAAGAAAATAATCATAAGCATAATACAAATTTAAATACTAAATCAACTAATTTTAAATATTTCAATATTAAAAATACAAGAAGAAAAAATGGACGGACATACTTCGCACCGCGAGTTGGCCACTATTGTAGGTAAGAAGTTGGGAAG